GTTGGCTTCTAGGTATAAAAGAAAAAAATTAGATTATATTCTGATATTTGTAGGGGTTTTATAATACCATCTTTGTTCAGAAAGAATACTTGCAGGGTTTCAAACCAGGAGAACACTTGAAACAAATTGCTTCTGATATTTAAGTTTTGTTACGTGATCCAGAGATTTAAATCTATCTAAGAACTTTGTACAGTCAGATAAATACATTTGGTAGTGTAGACAAGCAAAAAACCAAAACAGACCCTCCCCCTACATTTCTTAGTGGATAATACTTTTCATATATTTCCCCTATGCCTTTTTGAGCTTTTAGGGAAGGTTTGGGAGGCATGTGTCACCTCAGCACCAAAGGTTCAATCAACTTCTCTAGCACAGTGGTCCCCAAACTTTTCAGAGTTATACCTCCCTTATCCCTGTCCGCGCCCCCTGGGGCCAGGAGTGGGACCGCAGCTCCCCTGAGGGGCTGAAGGGGACGCGGATGAGGGTAAGGGGGCCAAGGCTCAGGCTGCAGCTCAGGGCAGATCTGGGGCCAAGACCAGGGCTGGGTGCCATGGCCAGGAGCCAAGGCTGGGGGCAGGGCCAGAGCAGAGCGGGGAGTGATGCTGGGTGGTGTTCCCTCCCTGCCCCACGTGGGGGCTGGTCCAGGCCCAGCCATGCCCCCCAAATGTTCCTTCATGCCCGTGTAGGGAGCGCGCCCCACAGTTTTGGGACCTTTGGTCTAGCAGGATAATTTGGAGTCAGGGAGGAATTAAGATAAACTCAACAGGATTGCTTAGGAGTGGTAGGTGGTAATTCTGTTTGAGACCCACTACATAAACAATTGGGGGGAAATCTGTGTTCTCTTAATTGAAATACTACTCTATATTTGCTCTAGCAATTGTTAAGACAAGAATCATGTTTGTATAGTTTCTTTCATCAGGTTCCTATTTTCTTCCCTTCTCTTCTTTCTAGGTTCTTCCCCGATTTAATGGTAATGGGGAAGTATTTAAAGCACAGATAATGAATGTGAGCTGGTCAGCTGATCATAGAATTATTGATGGAGCTACAATGGCCCGTTTTTCTAACTTGTGGAAATCCTATTTGGAGAACCCTGCTTTCATGCTGCTAGATCTTAAATAAAGAACACTAATGCCAGAACACATCCTTAAACTTCAGGGGAATAAACTCGATAATTATAAAAGCTAGCTATGCTAGCATATGTCCGTTTTCTTATTATATAATTATATTATGTGGTTGAAAGGTCTCAAGAGCCTATGTCAGTCTATTGATAACCTGTTCCATTCTTTTCAATTAAAATGAGTAGTTCTGTAGTTTATTCTATGGGAGGCTGTCATACTTAATAGGTCATAGTGTGACTTCTAAATGTGATGGGGGGAAGTATTTAGTGCCTGACTGTGATAATATGTGCTGACTGCCACTAAGCTGACATTACTGAAAGACAGATATCTACATGTCTGCAGTACTTTTAAACTGCTTATTCTGGATAGAAGGGAAGTTACGTCGCAATTATTCCTGGTTGAAAACAGGAATTTATTTTAACAAATCTAATGGAATATTTCCAAGTTCCTGAAAGAAATTATGCAGAAATAATGTACAAATAAAATGTCTTTATGATTATCTTTAAAGATGTCCAGTGGACTTTTTATTGTTTAATGGTGCTAATGTTTCCTCTAGTCCTCTTATACATAGAAAGTTCTTAGCACAGGTACTCAGTATCAGGTGACAATGGAAGATGACAATATCCCCCAAAATTTACTTCCTGCACAGTTTCAGAATATTTACTTGTATCCAACAACTCTTTGTAATAACTCTGTAGAACTGTCTTGCAACACACTCTAGTAGGCTGAAAGTATGTAGGATTGTTTACATACTCTAAGACTTTTCTTCTGGGAAGCAACATCCTGCAAAAGGATGCCATGACTAGGTTTTCCATCACTAAACAAATAACTGCTTACCACCATTGTTTATAATTACCATAACCTAGCAAACAGCTACTGTGCTCTAAAAGACTGTCGTCACCTTGCACATGACAGCTATTGTTTGTTCAGATACCAAGGTGTAACAGATCAATATTTGATATGAAATAGAATCTGTGTAAACAGCGCATAAGAATTAGATAAATCCTCTCTAAACTCATATGCAAGGCAGACAGTCAATAGGATTCAGGTTAGCACCCCCAGGACAAATAGCATATATGTTGTTTTAGGCTAAAACAATGGACAGTGGGAATGCTGGTTTGCAAATAAGATGCAAAGAAAAACCATTGTGCGCATACACTTTCCAGAGAACGCTGAGTTGCAAAAACAATACAGGATCACTGTAATGTAACCAAACAATTTGGGGAAGTCAAAAAGGACATTTCATAAGAGACTAATCTCCTCTCTGGAGGGTACATCTGGCTGAATACCTTTGTGGATAAGACCCTGTGGTGAGTAGATATAAGTAACCTGAAAGGTGTAACTGAGGGACCATGAGAAGGAAGGGAGGAAGATGCAAGACCTGATGTGCTAACTGCTTAAGGGGGCGAGGAAGAAACTCTCAAGCTGTGGGGAGAGGATATACACCAGAAATATAAGCTGCTACTCATGTTCCTATGCACAATGGTTTCTTTCTGTATTAGCTTTTGCAGTGTAAGACAAGATTCGTTTTAATCTGATTTTTCTATTAATAAAACTTATGACAGGCTTTGTGCTTTGGATCTTTTTATTTGGGAATTTCATGCAGACAATCCTGAACAGGAGAATAAATCTTCCTATTCGAGATCACAAAGAAGGGGTGCTTGGAGTCTACCGCTCGTGAGACTTAGCAAAAGGACATGGACTAAAGGCTACTCACCTATCATTTGTGTTGCTGTAAGGGCTGCAATCCAAATGATGCATGTGAAAACCTTATGACTATGGATGAGAACCAAATTGAAGGGCTGAAGGAATGATACAACATGATAGGTGCCTTAGAAATACCTTAGATAGATTAAACTACTCTGCCAGCAAAGGGAGCCAGATTTCTATTTTTGTCTGTCAAATCCTTAACAAAATGGGCAGTCTATCTTCTGCAATCATCTCTACTTATCTGAGTAGTTAATTAAATCAGGAAGGAAATTTAAGTATTTTGTGTATTTAAGAGAAGTTTTCAATAACTAGATCAGAAAAAAATCTTAGAGGATTGAAAAGTGAGTACAGTTGGTATCTATAAATGGATGTGGGGGGAACTAACAGGGATCAGGGGGTTAGTGATGGATTATGGAGCCTTTTACCTTCACATGGAACCAGTTCTAATCTGGCCCAGGTTGGTAGTGACAGGAAAGCATTGTCATTTGATGAGGATTTGACATAGTGATTATGAATCCACATTACAAAAACTGTCTTCACAAGCGGCACTCTTGGGCAATGTCATTGAGGACATAGTTTTACTGATTCTCTTTCAAGCAGTGAGCTGTGATTTCTGTCCTGTTCTGTCCTGTTCTTCTGTCCTGTCTCTCTTGGGATCCAATGTGCTGTGGGCAAGATGGGCAGAGCTGGGGACTGGGTGCACAATTCCCTTAAACCCATTGGGAATCAGTGCAGCGGTTAGACTTCACAGGAGGTCCCAGGGATGCCTGTGGTTGGGACTGTGCTTTCAGGGAGCTCAAGGAGTGGGGGGTCCTGAGCCAGCGCAGAGGCACAGAATCTCGAGATAGAGCTCTCCAGAAGCCATATCTGAGATGTGCTCAAATCTTGGAGGATCCATGAGGTTGTGGCCTGCTTTTTTGGGGTAGAGAGACAAACCCCACTTACCTAAAAGTTCACCTTTAATATTTATCAGATGGAATTATCATGCAGAGAGGAGCCCAATCAAGTACTGCTTGGGTGGGAGTGTAGAAGCGGAGGGACAGCAGCATCTCCTATGCAAGTTCCCCTTTCCCCTGATCCTGTGGAAACCTCTGTGCAGGTGCTCTGAACTGTTGGGATTTCTGACTGAAAAGGGAGTGGAGCGGGAGACCACTCACCATTGCATCACATCTCTTTATTTCCACTGGGGTTGTGAAGCCTAATATAGTGATGATCTTGTCATACTGGTTGTACACTGGTTTTCTCTTAATGACATCCCTATTCCCAGAGAATGAGACCCGTGGTCCCAGAGAATAGCAAAACTCTCCTGAGAAAACTATACTGCCTTGGGAAAAGCAGATGGTTATCAGAGAGCTGAGTGTCCTGTGATTCACACCAATTTCAACAAAGTCATCATTTTAGAGGACCAAACTCTGCCTGTTCTAATCCAAGCTCCCATGATGGATCATACCTGCCAGGTAAAACTCAGTTTCCTGTGCAGATTTTTCCTGCATGGAGGACAATATGGCCCTTTATAAAAGTTATTTACATTAAGATTCTGGGAGGGGGGGAAACACCAGCAAAAACAAAACATCTCAAATTCTTCCTTCTGCAGCCAGAAGCACTGTGTGAACTACTTCTTGGTTCAGTACTATAACTGTTCAGCAGGTACCCTGGACTTTATTGTGAAGAGAAAGAACTGCATAGCAGAGTGTCTGGGAATTTCACAAATGTTTAAATTTACTACAAGTGTAACTGAGCAGAACAATACAAAGCAACTCTTTTCTCTTCCAAATACAGTGCATTTTAGGGTTTAATTTTGCTTTATAATTCTTTTCACAGTAGCCAAATGTTTAATATTTTTCTGAAACTGTGTTATTTGCAGCAAAAGATTGCCAGTGTAAAGCAAACAATTGTCATTCTAAACTCTAATCTAGCTTGTGTTATTTGGCATAGCAAATATATTAACTGGCTCTTTTTGATCACAAGTATTGATCTGTGTTTATTCCATAAACAGTTTACACAGGTTATTGTGTTCCAAAAAATGGCAAGACGTTCAGTGGTAAATGCTCTGTGGCTTTGCAAAGTAGTCCCATGTGATATCCCAGCAATGTCATGGATTAAAATTAGAACTGGGCTGGCATTACATTTCACTTAATTGGAGTCTGTATCAGAGACAGACATTAGTAACACAGACAAGATTCATAACCTCGCTCTGCTCTTGCACAGAAATCAATGAGTCGTGGAAAATCTGTGAATACATCAAATGATTTAGGTAAGTTCTAAAATGCTTCCATATGTCTGGAAGTGAACGTGGGGAGGTGATCACGGGCAGGAGCTCTAGTTACAAGACAATACATTTGCAGTTATTTTACAGCTAAAATTGGGAATGCACTTCTGAATGGCTGGCAGTTCATGATCGCTATTGTATTATCGTGTCTACCAGAAAGAAGTATAAAGGGTGGGGTCAAAATGTTCTACTTTCAGCTTTTCATAGTTTTCTCATTACATAGTTACATCTGTTTAAAAACAAAACTCTATACTTAGGGCCTCGTGTTCTGATTTCTGTAGCTGTGCAATTTACTGAAGAATTCACCGTCTGCCACAGAACAGTGGTCCAAAAACTAAGTTTTAATTTTAAAATAGATGGCCAAAAAAACCTTCAAATTTTTATGATTACAAGTAGCATTAGAAGCCCCAGTCAGGGGTTGAGGATCCCATTATGTTAGGTATCATAGACGCATAGCAAATACAGTTCCTGACATGACACAAGCTTATAATACAGGAATTTGAACTGAATGTCAACTGCTGGAATGTTGTTTTCCCAGTCTCCAACCAGCCTAAAATAATAGCTATGGGAAGCAGGAACTGACTGAGCTGTCTCAATGAGAGTTAACTCTGAAGCCTACTAATAACAATTTAAATTCAGTTATGAATCATTTAACAGAAACCTTTAGCTAATGTGTTTAGTCATGTTGGGTGCAAAGGCAGATATTGGGATGAGGAGCAGTGCGTAGCTGGTTACTGGTAAGGGCTACGGGGGTGGGGAATTAATCCCTGAATATACATCAAGACGTTTGTGTTCATACCCACATGGGGCTGGGAGGGAGAAGAGGAAGATGCATCCATTCGCCATTGCAAAAAAGCCTTGACCACTTTTTGGGAGCTCCAAAACTAAACTACCTCTCACACCTTCCTGGGCACCAACAGCCCCAGCTGTCAAAACCTCCATCTTCCCCTCAACAGCTTTTATTCTTATAGCACAGTTAAGAATTAGCAGTGCAAAAATAGTTGGGCCAAATTCTCCTTTTTTACATCAGTGTAGCTCCAGAGGAATTCCATTCTCTAGTCTATACTGTCTTTCCAATGAGGAGCCATTTTCAGTGTTCATTGCTTTATACTTTTTCTACCTTTTTGTATTCTTCTATATTTCTTTGATGTAAGTCCCCATATACAATCTGGCTATTGGATACACCACTGCAATAATAAGAGAAAGGGAAAACATAGTAGGAATACTTAGCTTGGATGCAGAAATATCTAGCAAGTAGGTACCAAATAGCCATCTTAGTGCAGCAGCTGGTTTGGCTCTGCCACATTTAAAAGGCCAGCTAAAAGAAAAGCATGCTGGGAAAGATGCCTTCAAACAAGTGACTCTATACTGGCCATTGGTAGAAAGATGATTATAGGGAAAAGGTTGACATTCCACTTTCATTGTTGGAGCGCAAGCTGTCTGTCTGGCTGAAAAAACATTCTCAGGCTTTTCAGATTGGAGCTGGGTGTTTGAGACAGTATTCCCTGTTTCTCTTCCACCAAGTAGTAGGCATTTATAATAAAAAAATTGATGCAATTTTTAATGTGATCTTAGCATTACTACATAGCCCTGCAAATCTATAGGCCAACCCTGAACCCCAGTCTAACCCTGCCCCAAACTTTGGGAGAGTTCAGCGCCAGATCTGACCTTCACAGTTGTAGCCTATTGCTAGAATACAAAAACCCAATACAAGAGTGGCTGAGAGGAACCCTTCCAGACAGGAGCACAGGAATGACCAGGTGTCCTGCCTGCCGGGCACTAGTACCAGAATGTTCAAGAAGCTTCGAACAGGCTATTATTAGTAGCCGGCCTATAGGGCAGCTTTCTTCCCAACCCCTGGCAATTAATGGTTGACTGATCCCCTGACGCATAAAGGTTAACCCTTATACTTTTTATCTTGGTTTATGTCACTGTGGATGTTCTCACAATCTGTATTAGACTCTGACCTTTTTTGAATCCTACCAAGCTCTTGGACTCAATGATAGCTCATGGCAGCGAATTCCACAGGCTAATTCTATGCTGAGTAGAATGTATGATCTTCTAGCTGTTTTTACCTTTGTTACTTTTTAACTTAATTGAATATTGGAATTGGAAAAAGGTCAGAAAATGGCAACAAAAATGATTAGGGGTATGGAACAGCTTCCGTATGAGGAGAGATTAATAGGACTGGGACTTTTCAACTTGGAAAAAAAACGATGACTAAGGGGAGATATGATAGAGGTCTGTAAAATCATGACTGGTGTGGAGAAACTAAATAAGGAAGTATTATTTATGCCTTCTCATAACACAAGAACTAGGGATCAGCAAATGACATTAATAGGCAGCAGGTTTAAAACAAACAAAAGGAATTATTTTTCCATACAACGCACAGTCAACCTGTGGAACTCCTTGCCAGAGGATGTTGTGAAGGCCAAGAGTATAACAGGGTTCAAAAAAGAACTAGATAAGTTCATGGAAGATTGATCCATCGATGGCTATTAGCCAGGATGGGCAGGGATGGTGTCTCTAGCCTCTGTTTGCCAGAAGCTGGGAATGGGCAACAAGGGATGGAGCACGTAATGATTACCTGTTCTGTTCATTCCCTCTGGGGCACCTGGCATTGGCCACTGTCAGAAGACAGGATACTGGGCTAGATGGACCTTTGGTCTGACCCAGTATGGCTGTTCTTATGTTCTTATCTCCTTATTCTTGTATTATGTGATGAGGTAACTAGGAACACATGATTAACTATTCTATATATGTGACAGGAGTCAGTTGATGTGAGTTCCATCACAGCGCTGCTCAGATTGATTGTGTTTAATTAATCAAACAGGCATATCAATTTTTTTACATTGATGTCTCCTTCTGGCATGTCCAACTCATATGTGGGATTATAATGATGATGGTAATCAGTGTGCTATTCAGAAGCAGATACCTATGGCTGAACCGGAATGTGTAAGAACCATGACTGAAACTGCACCATGCATTGGATCATTCTCTGCTGTTAAGACACTTTGGGAAGTGAGAATTCAGAAAATAAATGAAGAACTACGGAAGGAAAAGGAATTCAGACAGAGGGCTGTAGGCAGGTATGTCCCTAATCAGTTAGGAAGAAATGTGAAGCTAAACACAGGCGATATGGTTGGTGTTTTCTGGAACATGCAAGATCCAATCCTGCAATCTTTGCTCAGCTAAAATTCCCACTGAAAGAAATCTGATTTTAGACTCAGGTCGACCAGAGAATTATGTTCAACTGTAAATAGAAATTAGTGCAGCTGCTGATTCTACTGGCATATATATCAAACTACAACAGCTACCACTGTCTTCATAGCACTACAATAGTGTAAAAGAAATTCTTCATGTTTTTATAGCACAAGTTGTTGACAAGTGCCCTCCATTTAGAAACAGTCTCCACTTAATATTATTTTGATCTCGTATCTTCACTGATTAGTCTATGATGACTTGCATGAACTTTACTTGAATTCAAGCTGACTTCATACATGGATGCAAAGAAGTCAACTCTCTTTTGTCTGTGACCAGATTGCTGTCTCTGGATGGATAATCTATGTTATAGCAGCTAGAGCAGTGGTTCTCAAACTTTTGTACTGGTGACCCCTTTCACATAGCAAGCCTCTGAATGCAACTCCCATAATAAATTAAAAACACTTTTTTATATATTTAACACCATTATAAATGCTGGAGGCAAAGCGGGGTTTGGGGTGGAGACTGACAGCTCACGACCCCCCAGGTAATAACCTCATGACCCCCTGAGGGGTCCCAACCCCCAGTTTGAGAACCCCTGAGCTAGAGGCTGTGGAAATGAAAAGATTAAAGAAGCTTAGTGCTTCTCCCACCCATAAAAAAGCTACAAGCTTCCCTTAAAATGAAGGGTGTTTGGGACAGTCCCCTTACATTATTTTCCCCCCTGTTGTTCTTGGTAAAACATTATAAAACTTGATGGAAGTAGTTAATTTATCTCTATAAAATAATTTACTTCATACAGATTTTAAAATATGATCTCACCGAATCGCAAAAGATTTGTACATTAGCCAAAACATTAGAATGCCTGTAAATTCTCTAAGCTAATGAACTGCTACATTGCCAGCCCTCCCAAAGTGTATCTAGCATCCCATTAAGATAAATACTTGTCTGACCTCCATGAAGGCTTCTCGACAAAAAGTTGCCTCTTTGCTATGTCAGGCAATCAAAATGGGATAGTAAATGTTGCTCATATTAATAGCTGCACAACTAAAAAAAGGTCTTTGTTTTGTAGACTGATGCTTGTCTGGGAGGAAAGAGACAGTTTAGCCAGGCTCAAAGAAAAAGTCATCACTGAAGATGGAAGGGTTATACTAAGGATAGAACAAGAAGAATGGAAGGTAATTAACAGGAAATTGTTTGGGTTGCATGGTTAGTGAATGACAGAGTTAAGCTATTTTACATCTTTAGCCCAGCTACTTGTATTACTTTTCATCTATTCAGTGCCCACAATATGCTCAGCTCTGTACACAGATGATCAGGCACGGACAGTTGAATTATTGCTGTGAATATAAATAAAACCTGATTGTATTGAAATTAAACTTGCTCACTCTAACAGTAGAATATTGAATGCTAAGCAATTTCACGACTGACCAGCAACAGCCCAGAAAGTCTTCCCACATGAACAGGAAAACTTAATGGCATTTTATGTCTTATGCTTAATTAAAGAAGTATTCATTTTGCTAATGCCCCAGAACTACCAGGACTAGCTCCAGGTTTTTTGCCGCCCCAAGCAAACAAAAAAAAACAAAAAAACCAACAGAGTGCTGCCCCTTGAAAAGTGCTGCCCCAAAAAGCCGGAATGCCGCCCCTTTAGAAGTGCTGCCCCAAGCACATGCTTGGAACGCTGGTGCGTAGAGCCGGCCTTGAGAACGACACAGACATAACTTGTAATGCGAAAGTCACGTGAAATGAAAAGATTTCTTGGGGTTATTTCTCTTCTCTTTCTAAGGGTGAAATTCATCCAATGGCACAAAGGCTCCCAGAACGGTGGGACCACTGTGGTTCCAGTGCAAGAAAGGTGGGCAGCTGCAGAATATGTGGCAGGGTGGACCCTACCAATCTCTGTAGGTTGCAGAACTGGCTTTATGCTAGTTCCAGTGTCCACCATGAAGAAGAAGTTGAAGACGAGATGCCTGAGCCAATTTTCCTTTTAAGTCATTGGGAATCTTTCCATTGGCATTGATGGGAGTTGGATCAGGTACAGGCTGGTGAAGGTGTGACTTCAGCTTACACTGTAACAGTCATGGTGCCTGCCCCAGTCCAGGGCGGTGATGTGTCTTACACAGGAGTTTGCGGAAGATTTAATTCCCTACAAACTGCAGTCCCTACATCCCACACAAACCCTGTGTAACTCACTCAGAGCAATGAATTTCAAACCAAATTACTAAATCTATTCTATAATCATTTTATAGCAAGCAATTATTTAGAAATGTTGCACAATCTTGGAAGTTATAGGTGATCCTTTTTTAATATAAAACATGTTGTAAATACATTCTACAATGCAGTTACCTAACATTGTCATTTTGTTTTGAACAGATGTTATACAATCCACATGACAGACACTAAACATCATTTAAGTTCAAACATTTTTGTTTGTTTTGCTTCTGGGATCTTGCATTGCTCAGTTCTAGTAGTGCAGGTGCCTAAGTTCTGGGTGCAAACAGAAGGGCTGGTTATTCTTGAGGTGTAATGGGAATTAATTTCTGCATGTTGTATGGTCTAGTGATCAGAAAAACAAAACTGTTTCCTTCCTCTCTAGCGTAACTCTAAATGTTCATGTTTCCAAAATCTTCCTACATTAACAATTAGTCCATTTTCATTCCATAAACGAAGTGGAATTTCCTTCTGATTTTATTTTTTATTATTTTTAGATGTTACCTGCTTGCTTACTGAAACTGAACCACCTCCAGGAATGGCAGCTTCACAGAATTAATTTGGTGAAAATTCCTGAATTCATTGGAAGGTTTCAAAATCTCATTGTGCTGGATCTATCCCGAAATGCCATTGAAAAGCTACCTAAAGAGATTGGTAAGTGGTATTTAAATACAACAACAAAAACAAGCCATTCTGTGTTACTCAGTTGGAGCACTGCTTCTGGATTAAGCAGCCGTCACACCAAATCCCATAATTTTCATTAACTGCATCTTTATTTCAATAAGCAGACCAAGAGCACTAACACTACACTAATGAGCCAACACAATAAAGTAAGATTTAACCCCAGTACTTCACAGCTGAAAGGTTTAATTTATTCCTCAGACCCAATATTCAGGTGGATTCTCTTTGATTATTGCCTTTGCAGGCCAGCTGCCTAACCTCCAAGAGCTGCTTCTCAGTTATAATAAAATTAAGTCTGTTCCTAAAGAGCTAAGTAACTGCATCAGCCTCGGAAGACTGGAACTGGCTGTGAACAGGGATATCTGTGACCTTCCACTTCAGGTTTGAGAAAAACAATTACTTTTATTTATAGGTATATATTAAATGTTTTCACTAGCTAAAAAATTCTCAGAAAAAAAATTGAACTTCTGTTTTCTTCTAGACTTTAAAATGACATAGTACATTTCCACTGGAAAGTCTTGCATGGACTGTCTAATAGATGGGTTGTTTTCACTTTATTTTTAAGACATTGATTTTACAAATATTTAAGAATATGCATAATCTTTGTTTATATGAATAGTTCCATGGGAGCCAGTGGGACTAACCACATGAGTAACTAAGTATTTGCAGGAACTGAGCCTAATTTTGCCCAGTCTTACAGGGGAGTATATAAATAATGGGCCAGCTGCTTAGTTGGTGTAAACTGGCATCAGGCCATTGATTTTAATTAAACTATGCTGTTTTACACCAGCTGAGGATCTGGCCCACTGGCTCAACTATGACCTTAGAGAAGTCACCTTTAAGGGTGAGAGCATAGTTTAGGGTGGCCAAACTGTGGCTCTTTTACAGTTAAAGTGTGGCTAGCAGACCCCCCATACCCTCCCCCATTCTCTGCCTACCAGACTGGGGTGGGGGGTGAGCTTGGGGCTTCTGCCCTGAAGCAGGGTGCTGGGGCTAGGGGCTTCTGCCTCATGGGGCATGCCTGCCAGCACTTGGGGCTTCTGCAGAAGCGGGGCTGAAGCCCTGAGCCCTGCCAGGCATCTCCCATGCGGCTGAAGCCCTAAGCCCCGGCAGGCGCATCCCATCTCTCGAACTTCTGAAGGTTGTCATATGCGGCTTGGAGGGTCAGTAAGTTTGATCACCCTGGCTTAGTTCATTCCCTCCCCATTCAGCTAGTGGTATCTCTACAAAGACTACTGCTTGTGGTAGTGATTTGGGTGATGCAGACAACTGCATGTGCACAAGGAAGTGAATTAACTCACTTCACAGAGGACACAGAGCAGCTGAGTGTAATAACTTTTGCTCTCCACTTACCTGGGCTGAATCGTAACTGATGACGTACATGTGAAAAGGGATCCATATCTCCATATCAGTCCCTTGGCTACAAAGTAACCAAATACTTCTGATATTTATTTATTTGTATTTGCTACAAAAATTACAGCCCTGACAGATATTAAAAGTAACCTCAATTCCCACAGACTTTACAGGAGAGTGAGGATAACAGCGCTGCAACTTTCTCACTCAGGGGTATGAAAAAACACACCCCTGAGTGCAGCAAGTTTCAGCGCTGTAAAGCGCCAGTGTAAACAGTGCACCAGAGCTGGGAGCCATGCCCCTCATTGAGGTGGGTTTTTTAGAGCTCTCTCCCAGCACTCCACCGCAACCACACAAGGCACATTAAAGCTCTGCCAGTGTAGAATAGCCCTTAGGGTGCTTGGTGCACTGCAGAATTAAGTCCAAACATTAAGTCTGTAAAACCCAACAAACTGGGCAGCTTTAAAATAAATAAATATAGAATATTAACTGAATATCAGAAGTTACCAAATTTATCTGGCAGTTGTTTGACTAGCAAAGTTACCAATATTTTATGATAGGGTGACCAGATGTCCCGATATTTGGGAGTTTGTCTTATATAGGCTCCTATTATCCCCCACTCCCTGTCCCAATTTTTCACACTTGCTGTCTGGTCACCCTCTTTTATGAGGTCAAGTGAATGTTTTCTGACAAAAATAAATTTTAAGACTCTAGACCAGATTCTTATTTATACTGAAGTCCCTTTATATCACTGGAGCAATAGTGTAAATGAGATTCTGGCCCTCTGTCTTATCTCATACAACCCAGAATCACTTGTCTGGCATGGATTCCAGAACATGTTGTAGTATTTTCAAAATTTTTCTGTCTTTGTGGCCAAGATGGTTAAATAACAGCTGTGATGGAACATCACTTACTGCACAGTCTGTACAAATGTGCATTAAGGAATCCTATTAATGAGTCTTCCCTTTTCTATTTAGCTCAGTGACCTAAAGAAGCTTTACCATGTAGATCTGAGTATGAACCAATTTACTACCATCCCTTCAGCTCTCCTGAACATGCCAAGTCTAGAATGGTTAGACATGGGGAGCAACAAACTTCAGCAACTCCCTGATACGATTGACAGGTAAAAAAACATTCTTAGTTTTAATTCCATTGCATTGAAAATTTAGTTACCCAACTCTGTTCTAAAATATTAACAAGTATCAAACAAAATAAAGCAAGCTACTTATACTGTTAAAATAACTGGAATATCTCAAAGCAGAATATTTCCTTACGAGAACTAATTTTTTTTGTTCAGAAGGAAAATTGCTTGCAACTGAGTTGATACTTAATAAGACATTAAATTCCTGTTGTCAAGTTAATCTTCTTGCTGTAGAAATTTTCAACTTATAATTTAGGCTACTATCTTCAACCTGTGTTTCCTAAGATTAATGTCCTTTTTTATGCAGTCAATGCATCTCTATGTTAAAATATAATTTTAAAAGTTGATTTTTCTTGAATATATATCTACATATATTCTACATAATTGTTCTAGGTTGCCGTATGGTATCTTTGTGTCTGTAGGAGAAAAGGCTTTCAAATGTATCACATTGTATTATCAAAATTTCCACCAACCAGTGGTGTGGAGCTGGGAAGGGCAGCACATCCCCTCTGCTATGCCGTAGGGTGACACCATTGAACATGTGCATGAGCCAAGGATGCAGATGCCAATGTCTGCATCCCCTTAAAACTTAGTCATCCCACTAGTTAGTCCAGCTCTATGTTAAACTGTACAAACTACATGTTTGGCATAGGAACCGTTTTAAGAAGTAATATAAATAATGTTCAGATGAAATCACTGAAATTATGATTCTGTAGATTTTATGAATCAAATGACACCTCCCTTACCTTTCTGTCATGAACTTGCCCACAGAATTACACATGCTCCCAGACTGTTAAGCGTTACTGCATTCTTTATATCAGATACATGATTGTTGAAGTGAATCAACTCCTTTAAATTAATCATCAAGGATTCCCTAATGCTGGATTAATTGTAGAAACCTCTACTTCTACAGAATGGAGAACTTACATACTTTATGGCTCCAACGGAATGAAATAACCCACTTACCAGAAACCATCAGTAATATGAAAAATCTGAGTACTCTTGTCCTCAGCAACAACAAACTCCGGGATATTCCTGCTTGCATGCAACAAATGACAAATCTCAGGTAAACTATCAACAATACTGCAAGTACCTGAAGGCTGCCTTTAAAAATTCCCGGTGCAAACTGCTGCATAACAAATAGATAGGGAGCCAGATTCTCAGCTGGTGTGAACTGGTATAGCTCCATTGAAATCAGTGGAACTACAGATTTATGCCAGGTGAGAATCTGGCCCAGAAAGTTTTATGACAGTATTGAGTTCCTTCATTTCACCAAATGGATTTATTGCAAATGTAAATACAGTATGTAGAGTCCCAAAGGTTAAGGGAATCTTTAGATTCTTCTTGATCTGTGAGGGTTGTGGATGCTGGCTTTCAGTGGAACAGTTGGGCATCACTATTTTAGCCTCTCTCATAACACAAGAACAAGGGACAAAAATTGAAAAGCAACAATTAAAAACTGATAAAAGGAGAACTTTTTATAAAACGTATATTTCACTTGGGAAATTACTGCCACAAGGTATCAGTGAGGTCAAGAACCTAAAACCCTTCAAAAAAGGTTTAGATACTAAGATATGAATAATGAGAATATCCATTTAAGTTTGGGGATAAAAATGTGAGCTATAAATCTTAATGCTTCAAGATATAAGCTAACCAGGAACTGACGAGAAAACTTCTTTCAAATCCTTATGGGCAGATTGTTTTTTTTTATTCACTACGGCAGGGTTCTTGTTGCTTTCTCTTAAGTACTTTCATTCTTAGAGACAGGATACCAGACGAAGGCTATGTCTCCACTTGAAGCTGAGGGTGTAATTCCCAGCTTGCATACATGTACCTGTGCAAGCGCTGTTTGAGCTACTATGGTAAAAATAGTAGTGCAGCCAGGTAGCACGAGCGGGGGCTTGGGATAGCTAGTTGAGTTCATACCTACCTGGTCTGATGTAGTATAGCAATTCCTATGTTTTCAAGTGATTTGGGGATGCTACTATATCTACAGATGCATAAACTCTGCAGCAGGTTTTTATTACCAAAAATAAAAATTCTCATGTGTAATAGATCTAATTTAAATATTTTGTTCTGGTTTCAGAGTAAACATCTGCTTCTGTATCCTGATGTCAAAATATTACGAAAATGTATAACGTTATCTTATTGTGCAGTACAAACATGTACTTCAATAAACATAGGGATAGTAAGAACACCTGAATTTGTTCACTGGAGATCCTAGATTTGCTTGAATTGGCCTTGGTACTGACCACAGGTACTAAGGCCTATATTTTCAAGTGTGTGCACAAAATATTAAACATGATAGGGATTCCTTGTTAAACTGTACAAACTACAAGTTTGGCATAGAAACCATTTTAAGAAATGATGTAAATGTTCAGATGAAGACTATTTCTAAATCAGTTAAGATAAACACATACCACACTACCATTAAGTAGAGAAACTATTTGAAAGATAATGCCCTGAGAAATTGCCCTTAATTACATTTTCTTTTGCTGAAGCACTCTTCAGTGCAGCCTAGTTTAGTTTTCAAACAGTTGTTCTTGGTCGGGGGGGGGAAGGACCTCCAAGAGTCATGTTTTCTGATGAATTACCAGATTTGTCAACTTCAGAGACAACCCACTGGAGCTGCAAGTAACACTTCCCCCATGCGAGAATACTGAAGAGGAAGAGGAACGGGAATTGTTTGGTATTCAGTTCATGCATATGTATATTCAAGAGTCACTCAGCAGAGCAGGTATGAGATTTGTATTGTCTGTAACTAGAGTATGAATAAAAAATATTAGAAAACATTAAAATGCAGTCAAGCAGAATTAGGGTGTCTCTACACTGGTGTGAATTCCAGCTTGAGGAGACATACATGAGCTAACATGCTAAGAACAGAAATGTAGTTACCTCTGAATATGATCCTGGTACATACTTAACTAACAAGCCTTCCTGACATGTGTTCCACTCTGGTGACATTTCTATTTTTACCTCACTAGCTCAATCATAGCTAGCACAGATATGTCTCCTTGAGCTGGAAGTTACACTGAAGAGGGAGTAGCAGGAGAAGCGGATGCTTTTGTCACGGAGTTTCTGGAGTTCCCAGCATTTCCTGCCAGCAGGTGGAAAAGCACCAACAAGTGATGGGGAAATATAAGGTGTTTCTAGGAAGATCTAGTCACCTAAGTGAAATAAATTACAGTATATACTCAATCATGAGCCCGTTCGTTTATAAGCCGACCCGCCCAAGATGGATAAGTAAAAATGGAAATTTTTTATGACCCGTTCATAAGCCGACCCTATAATTCAGGGGTCAGCAAACTTTAGCTCCCGGGCCATGAGGATAAGCTGCTGGTGGGCCAAGATGGTTTGTTTACCTCGAGCGTCCGCAGGCATGGAGGTAAACCTAAGTAAATAAAGTGTCCCAGCACGCCAGCTGCTTACCCTGACGGGCCGGGACAGCAACTGGTGAGGAAATTATATTTGGGGGGGGGGGGGAGGGGAGAGGGAGAAGCTGGGGGTCAGGGGAGTAACCCCTGTGACCACACCCCACATGACCCCACCCTTAGCCCGGTACCCCCACACTCTCCCCATCCCATCCCTTCCCACCTTATCTGGGGAGGATGTTTCTGGCCTGGCTGGAGCTGCTCCGGCAGGCTGGGCAGCGCGGCCGCAGCCTGCTCCGGCGGGCCAGACCAAGCAGCGTGGCCGAAGCATGTTCCAGTAGGCTGGGCCAGGCGGCACGGCCACAGCGTGCTCTGGCGGACCGGGCGGCGCGGCCACAGCCTGCTCTGGGGGGTAGGGCCGTTCGGCAGGGCTACAGCCTGCCAGCCCCAGAGCTGCAGCTGCTTCGGAGGCTGGGGGGAGAGCAGTGTGGCCAGAAGCGGAGAGACTCTGGCCCCGCCTCTTCCCTTCTGGCTCTGCTGCCTCTCCTTGCTCCCTCTGTTGGGGGGAGGGGCTGTGTCCCACCTCTCCCTCTCTATACCCATTCATAAGCCGACCCCCTTCTCTGGTGCTTCCCTTTTTTACTAAAAAAATTCGTCTTATGAATGAGTATATACAGCTATTTCACCCCGCTTCCTCATGGAAAAGTAGCCATATGACAAAGCACATCAACTAGCACTGTCTGCTGAGAGATAAGGACTGGACAATGAATTACCCACAGAGGCTGTAAATGAAGGTCAGGATTGAGTTACTTTAGCAGAGCATCATGAGCCAATGCCCTTTGCTATATCTATTATGTGAATGGCGAATTTCACTGACACAAGGTATCAATATTTCATCTCATCAAGTTCACCCACATATTATGAAAGCTTAAAACAAATCGCTAAAATAATGAGGTTAACTCAAGAGATCATGTCAATTTCAGCTTTTATTCCTCTCCATAGCAAAGCTTTATGCATGGGAATGTAATTACTAAAACAATGAGGTGGCATTTGATTTCCAACTAAATGTTTTTCTTTAGCCAATTCCACAAATAGTCAGAACTCATAAAATAAAATTCTAGGCATAGAAAACAAGATAAAAACCCTCATGAAGTTCAAAATGGAGACAGGTTATTAAGCATATCCATTTCTTACATTTTAACCTATTGATTTTCAGAAAACCTGGACAACTGTATACCTGTTGCTTCTGCCACCATTAATGATAATGAATAAAAAATTAAACAAACTGCCAAACTGAACTTTTGTATTTGGAGGAAAATATAAATTCTACTTCTTCTGAACAGAGAAAACAACAGCAATATCGCAGTGTGCAGAGACAAAAATGCCTTATGACTTTCACACTGCTAGGAGTCAGCTGGCATCTTCTTGTGATTCCAAAAGAAATTTAAGTTCAATGCTTTTGTAGTTACCGAAAGACTACAAAATGTTTTCTAAAAGTACTGAATCTGTGAATAAGGTCTTAAAAAAAATCCAGAGAAGTTTTGTAGAGTTCTGTGTCCTGCCCATTCCAAATCTGTCTCCCATTATGCAGTTGGCTGAGGTACTGAAGATTGACTTGATACAGCTGTCAAGAGTACATTCTCCAAGGAAACAGTAGAATCTATATAGTATTGTAATGCAGCATTGTACCCTCTCTGTTGTAAATATTTGATCCGTCCCTGGTCAATCAAGAGTTTACAAAGACGACCTATCTGCTTTCGTTCTTCAACAGTAAGTAGCCTAGCTCCAAAAAGAAAAAACATGAATTAGTCAACACAAATGGTTCAAGATCAGAAAAGCTGTAAAAACTGTAACTGATGCAGTTCAATGCAGATAAAGTGTGACTGTTTTGGAATAAGATTTTGAAGACTATTATGTCACTTAAATTTGCATGTTTTTCATTTTAAGTACTTCAGATGGATATGTTTCTATAAAATGAGCCATTCTGACATTCAAAAATGCTTAATCATTCAGCTACAAATGACTGTCTAATCCATTATTTCTACCTTCCTGAGACGTCTACATGCTACAAAAAAAATGACCTACCCTTGCAGACTATCAGAACTGCACTCAATTCTGTTGTGTACTTGGTCATGTTCTTCTGTATCACTGTTTTGGTCTTTGCTCTTTGCATCAACGGTAGAGGCTTCAGTGATAGTTTCTCGCATGCCACAAGTGGCCCAGCTAGTCATTCTCTGAAAATAATTAAATTCCACTGGCCCAAGTCCCACTGTTCTAAAGAACTCTCGGCCTACATAATGCTTCCACTGACACCTGTGGTGGCAACACAGTGCAATAACAATTCCAGCCACAGGCTTCCAGTTTTCTGAAACATTCTTTCCACTCCTTTCATCAGCAGAATTGTTAAAAGCTATGTCTGTTTTATCACTCTTGAAACGTTTAGGTGAAGGTTCTTCATTTCTTTCATCATATTGGGTTGCGTAACTTTCAACCAAACATCTCAGAGCAAGATCTGTGAACAAACAACTATGTTTTAAAAAACTCTCGAACAGTGTGCTGCATTTATACTCAAAGATAGGAAAGGAACTTTCCTCAAAAATAAGGAGGAGGATAAAAGCACTTTACAAAGTAATCCCAAAAGCAACAAGTTGACAAAGTTTACTTAAATACGGTCAGCTACTTTAAAACGAAATGAGTTTATATATTTCAAGTTCAGTTTACCAAATATTAATGTACACCTCTACCCCGATATAACGCTGTCCTCAGGAGCCAAAAAAATCTTACCGCGTTATAGGTGAAACCACGTTATATCGAACTTGCTTTGATCTGCCGGAGCGCGCAGGCCCACCCCCCCGGAGCGCTGCTTTACCGTGTTATATCCGAATTCATGTTATATCGGGTAGCATTATATCGGGGTAGAGGGGTATTTACAAAATCACCATAAGACCACTGTGACACTCTGTACCTCAAATAGCACCCTGGAGCCCTCATATTACCCCTGCGATACAATTATGACAAATTTTGTACAATGCATGCCTTGTGAAGCATCATTTTAAAAGTCTTGATCTGTTGAACACTGATATGCTGTTTGGATTGTATGTACTATCATTTTACATGAAGTATTGCTATATGTGCTACTGAAATATATTGTGAGGTTGGGAGATGCCCACAGCTGGCCTTTCAGTATGGACAAAGGAGCAACAATTATTGGCCAGACAGGCGTTAACAGCTCATCAAGAACAATCCAATATCCCAGAGGCTTCTCAGAGAAGGCACATATGCAATGCAGACTGCCTGACCATCAGCAAGGATCTTTCTAGCAGCTGGAAGAAGGTACAAAAAGAGAGACAGTGACATCATCCCTTGGCCTCTTCCCCCCCACTCCCCCAACTCCAAATCTCAACATATGGAAGACTTTGAACTAGGGAGATTGGTCCCAGGCTGGAAGGAAGTCCAGTCTGTGCACTGATGAACTGTAACCTGCCTGCAACATCTGTTAGGGTGAGAAACTGCTTGATTCAAATCTCACTTAGTTTGTTAAAGTTAGAATTTAGACTGTATTTTTATTTGTATTTCTTAGATAACCAACTTTGCTCTCTATGCCTGCTACTTAGTCACTTGAAATCTATCTTTCTGTAGTTAATAAATCTGTTTTATATTTTATCTAAGACTGTGTGTTTTTGGTGTAAGTGCTTGGGGAATCTCAGCTCAGCTTAACAAAGGCCATTGCACATCCACTACCCTTTTGTCGGAGTGGCGAACTTATTAATTAGCTTTCACTGTCCAAGGGAATCTTGAGCAATGTAAGATAGGATATTTCTGGGGTTCAAGGCTGGGGCCATTGACTGTTGCCTCTCTCTGTATGATTCATGAGTGGCTCAGGGAGCATAATATAGCAGGGTGTGGGACTCCAGATGCTGATGGTTGAGAGATCACAGTGCCTGGAGGGGTGTTACTGCTTGTCACTGACATAGCTTTGTGAGAGACAACCCAGGCTAGAAAGTTAAGGCGACACAGTGGTCCCATGGTTCCAGGTTGTACCTCGGGGAACCTGTCACAACTATCTGACTTGTTAGTGATCAATACTCTTGAGAATACTTGTTCCACAGGTCATTGGGAAAACTTCAGCTCCGTGGCCTTTTTATTACAAGAGGACGTTTATGTAGAAGTCTGACAGAATTAAAGCACACAATCCATTTACTTAAGAATTGTAAATACCATTACAAAGACATCATGGTTAACAGTGTCCCAATAGAATGTATATAATACATACACACAGTATGTCATACCTGAAACACCTTTCCCCACATACCTGGGATGTAAAGCTGAAAAAAAAGTAATTGGTTGAAAACGTCTTGGACAAGTTGAAAATGATCTTACTATATTACAGTATTCAAGTTGTCCAGGACATTTTTAATCAAGTTAAGTTTTTCCAACATTGTTGTCCAAGCTTAAGATAGTGGGAAGAAAAGTACTATGAAAAACATGTTTCTGTCAGTTTAAGAACACAATTACATAAAACATTCATTCTTCAGTTTGCTGTACACAACCAATAATGTTTATTTCCATCTGGATTAACCACTTTGCTGCTTGCCATCATCCAAGTAGTGTTCCTCTGAAATCAATGGACATTTAGAACACAACTGGTACAGTAGGCAGCAGTCAAAGAATTAGACAGAAAAAAATAGTACAAAAGAACTGTTAGAAGCATCGAATTATTCAAGAGGATTAGAATCAGCATTCCACTTTGTAGCTGCATTTACGCCAATACATTTGTATAGTTCATACCTGTTGCAACACCACATAAATGCTTTCCAATTCCTACCACAGGAAGCTTTTCTTTCTCAAGAATAGGTACTTTATCTGAAAGAAACAGAACCTGGATTACTGGAGCTGGACATCATCTTGCTGGGTAATATCATTCCAGCACACATAACTGAAACAATAGGTCAGAAAACTCAAGTAAAATTCCTGCCTCAACTATTATAAAAAAACTTCAATTGTCTGCATCTCAAAAGGGTAGCTAGTGTTATGTCACACTAAAAAATAAGATGGAAACATAATACAGTATAATTTTCATGAACTGAAAAAAATAGCTATACAGTAAGTTTAAATAGCACATTTAATTTTTTCTTCCTTTTTTTAAACAACTTCAAATTGTACAAAGGGAATAAGTTTAACTTAAAAAGGAACTTTTTTAAAAGATTCATTGTTAGCAGCTTGGAAATAAAACAATTTTCCTTTCTGACATGTTCCTTTCTAGTCTACAAACATTATGTTATGTTCCTAGTGCAGCAAAAATCAATACTTCTCTTTGTACACCAATAAAAAGCAGAAAAGTACAAAACTTTGAAAATAGTTCTTGCTTACTGTGGGGAGTTCAAGCTATTTGTGGTATGTCTCCTCAATAAATAAATGAATCAATCAAGACTTTATTTAGATATAAGATAATTTCCTAATAGACAGCAATTCAAAATCTGTCAAATACTTAAAAAACCCAATACTGCAGAAGACACCGTTCATACATTGCAGGCCAACTTGATCCATATACTGAATAGTAGTAATACTCTATATCTATAGAGCCTTCCAGCTATAGATATCAATGCAGTTTACCAACATCAATTGATTTAGACTTACCATATGCCTCAAAAACGGGGAACTGAGGCAGAAATTAAAACCATGACCTGTTCCCATTAAAAAACTTTGGGAGCAGGACTGGGCATCAAGCGACTTGCCTAGAATCAGAGTGACAGCCTGTGGCAGAGTTGGTAATAAATTTCAGGTTTCTGTATTCTTAGTCCTGTGCTTTAATAAGTTCATCTGTCCTACCCATGGTGGATTAATATTCACATGTAACTTTCTAATGTTAATTTACAGTAAACCAAGTGAATGTACAGTTTAATTAGAGAAGACAAATACAAGATTAATATAAATTACCTTTTTAACATGCTACAATGTACCATGTTCCTTCATTAGCAAACATTCTTGCTCATTATTTATAAAATGTTATTCCCTGTATTCTTTTGTCCTTCTACATATGCCATTCATAATTTAAGTTTCAACCATCTGTATGGCCCAAACATATATGATCTAGTCATGAAAGATATACCTATAAGGAATTAAGTGACTTTGTGGTACCAAAACAAGTACAATATATACTACTACTGTGGTACACCAGATGGGAACAGAGTCACCCGTAGCTCAGAGAATGGATCCAGTTAAGTTATAACAACCTAAGGAAAGGCATGGAGATGCATATATATTTTGCATGAAATACAGGATCTGAATCATGCTGGCAATGCATTGGATTACATTAGTTAAGTAAGGTGGTAATCACTTTTATCCATTTAACTAATGCAAGTTCTGTTCATCACCATAAGCCACCCACTAAATTTAACGCAACTTCTTTTGAATGTGGTACTCCAGAATCCCCCTGTGTTCATTGTTAATAAGGACATCTGAGACTTGCCTCACTCAGTAATGATACTTGTATCAAAATACAGCACAGCTAAAATACACAAGTGAAAGCATCTAACCCTGAAACTGTTCAGGCTCTCTTTTATTTGGTGATTCTGACCCAAAATAAAGTCTTATAAATTCAAGATAATTTGTACACGTTGTTAAAATTATATAATACCCATTTAGTAACTGAAAAAAAGAGTACAACATAAAAATGACCAAAACACTGAGAACAGTCTTCTAAACATTATATTAATTAACTTATACTAAGTGTAAAAATTTCCTGCACTCTGGTACTACACAATCAAGTTTTTAAGCAACCATCTTAGTATTGCTGATAGTTATACAAGCCAAGTAGCAACTTACTTAAACATAAGTGCTGGATATCAACTTGAAGCCTTTCAAATATGTAGTCTCTTTTTCTGTGTTTACCATCTACCTGTGTGAATAGGATGTCACATTATTAAGAAGTGTTAACTAACTAACTAATAAATAATTACAAGAATGTGCTAAGGTTATTAATTTTTTAAAAACAAAACAAGCCCCTTTCAAATGAACACTAACATTTTCAGTATCAGCCAGCAGGCATCTTGTACCCCAATTGTGTTACTGGCATGCCTTAAAACTACAATAAAGGATCAATTAAATTTTTCAAAGCCCTTATCTGACAAATATATATATTTTCACCTTTCCTTTAAAAGCTAACCAGACTTTCTGAGAAAAAGGCACATTTACCAAGAACAACAATTCCAAAAATGAGACTTGGCCAACTCCACAATAGACTGTCTTACCTTGAATCGTGTAGTTGCCCTTTCAACAAGCAGAAAGTGAACATTTTCAGCGTCTTGTAAGGCAATATCAACCCAGTGAGACAGCTTTCCTCGTCCAGCTCCAAACTCAATAAAACATCTTCCTGGCCCAAGCAAATGTAACTTTTCCATGTTACCTAAAATGGAAGCCTACAAACTTCAAAAGATTATTTATGAACCAAGCCAAATATACATTCTGTCTGATCATTTCTGTGGGAAAAATGCTAACTTAACTCACAATCAGCAGTCTCTCCCATAGCTCGTATTGATTAAATAACCATGCTGCAAAATGTCAACACCTCTTTCATGAATGCAGGGGTAGAGATGTTGTGAATCCAGAGTGCAGAGGAAATAAGGGCTGCCTCCATGGCATCATCTTTTCCTTTTTCTAACACCCACAGAATCTTATCCACTGGGTTTTGGGGGTAGAGTTAGGGACCAGGCATACATTGGAGTATTGTTCTCAGCTAATCCTTGGAAAAGTCACATGGATGTTCCAGTGGACTTTTGTGAAGCATCACTTCCTGCAGAGCCCTCTCTGTAGCTACTGCAGTTGTACACATAGAGTTGTGCTGAAAGGCACCAACATGGCAGTGCTTAGGGCATTAGCTTAGCACTTGGGAGATCTAGGTTCAAGTCTCTGCTCTGCCAGTAGGCAAGTCACTTAGCTTCTCTGCACCTCAGTTCTCCATCTGCAAAAGGGAGATAATAGTACTTCCCTACCTTACAGGAGTGTTATGAGGATAAATTCATTAAAAAGACTGTGAAGCACATTGAGATCAGGTGGTGGAAGCACTATATAAAAGAGACAGGAATTACTATTATTCCCATGGGCCCTTTCGTCCTTATCATTCTCTGGCTTCCCTTTCCCAAGAATTCAAAGGATTTGCTGTGTTGGAAGTTCTCACCACCCACTCACTCTGTATCCCATAAAAATTCCTCCTTCTCAAGGGCACAATTCCCTGAAAATATCATAAGGCAAATCTCAGAGTTTTATAACCTCATACATTTTCCATGAGAGGGGATAATCTAGGCTCATGAATGAGGAGAAGACAAGCTTGTTAGGTATTTCAGGATCAAAACAAACTTCTGTTACGAACACTTATAATTTCAAAGCAGTTATGGACAATGTAGGGGGTCGATATAGTCCAGGTAACTAGGATTTTTGGATAAAGGGAACTGAATCCACACTGTGTCCTCCATGTAGCCCTAAGTTAGTTAATAGCACTTCTGTTTATCTGACCGCCGGTTTATCTGAAACTTTCTAATGCCCCCCCCCCAGTCCATTTGAATAAACAGGAGTGTACTATCAATAGACTAATACTTAAACTGGTAGCATGGGTACAATCTGGAACTGTTACAAGTTTCTTTTACGTGAAATAACTGTAGTATGGATTAGCTGGAATCCATAAGAAGAAAAAACTACAGTAAAGACCACCATAGCTATTAGTAAGGAAATGGCCATACCTGTTGTTTCAAGTGCTTGAAAGCAGACTCTCCATTCTTTGGGTCATTTAAGGCTTCTTGTAAGGCCTGATGGGACAGCATTTGATCCTTAAGTATTGGCTTTATACCTGCATCAAATGTAGAAGTACTCTTCATAGATTCAATTAAAAAGGCCACCTAACATCAATCTAGCTCCCACCTGCATATTGAAGTGACTGCATACAGTACTTAGTATGCAAAATATTTGACTCTGAAGACTTTACAGAGTTAGCATACTGACTATTGGAAACAAGTAAAAGGGACACTATCAAATAGTTTAAGTCCACAAGTTGACACCTAAAAATTGTGATAATCTTATAGGTAATGTTCTTCAAACTCCAAACATGTATTTTTGTTTTTAATCCAACATATGAAAATTTCCCTATCTTCTGCTATCAACAAAATAATCTACAACAGGAGTTCTCAACCTTTTTCTTTCTGAGGTGCCCCCAACATGTTATAAAAACTCAATGGCCCAGCTGTGCCGCAACAACTTTTTTCTGCATATAAAAGCCAGAGCTGGCGTTAGGGGGTAGCAAGCAAGGCTGTTGCCCAGGACCTCACACCACAGGGGGCCCTGCAAAACTAAGTTGCTCAGGCTTCAACTTCAGCACCAGGTGTCAGGGTTCAGGACTTCGGCTTTCTGCCCTGGGCCCCAGTGAGTTTAACACTGGCCCTGCTTGGCGGACCCCCTGAAACCTGTTCACGGCCCCCAAGGGTCCTGGACCCCTGGTTGAGAACCACTGATCTACAACACAAGCATAATTGCTCTCTAATGGGTCAGAAGCAACAGTTTTCTAACAAATGCTTTTCCCAGAGCTGTAATGTCACCACCTAATCATGGTGCACAAAGAAGAATGTAAAACAAAAGTCATTAATTTCATTAAAAACAAAATTAACTTTTATTCAAAAGAACAAACAAGACTGAGATGAGGAAAAAATACTAACTAACAGTGTCATGTAGGTAGTTCTTTAACCGTTACAAGATTTCAATTTCAGATCACGACAAGTGACAAAAATAAGTATTCCTATTAATCTCTTTTCTTTTTTTAATCCTGGAAGATATTTAACACTAAAATAGCCATGAAGTATTTGATTAATTCTGGAGAAAGCAATTTAAAATATTTCAAAATTAAGCAGACTCACCATTACTTGCTTTTTTCAGCTTTTTAATCAAGTCCTCTAATTCTTCTTTAGACAGGGAAGAAATTGGTAACTGCTGGAAAAAAAAAATACAAAAAACAAAAAGGTTCTCCTCCTTTTTTATCTATTTGTTCCTTAAAATAACAGAGAAATGGACTCACCTGTTCGTCAAGTATTTCTGTTGCATCTTTTAATCCTGCATTAATATCTTGAACAAAGTAGGCCTTAATAAAAAAAAATAAAAACAGCATGAAAACCAAGGAGATTCTAATAAAGACAGAACAGCATGTAAAGCAAAAGAATGCTTCAGAGTGTGTTGACAATAATTCACCTAGCAAAAGTCAAATAATTACAAATGAAGAACGTAGTTCTGAGAAAAGATTCTCTCTCTCTCTCTCTCTCTCTCTCACTGTTTTAGGGCCCAACTCTGCAAACACTCTCCAATAGGTGTACTGCTTACTAGGGTGATTAGTCTGATAGATTTCAATGGGACTAAGCACCATAGCAAGCACTACAGTAGTAATGCTTTTGCAAGGCTGAGTCCTGTCTTGTACTAGCACTTTGCATCTTATTTGTACTATAAGAATCAATAATCAAAGGAATTTCTCTTTCAAGCAGTTATTCTTTAAGCTTCCTGATTACTGACATTTCATATATACAGGAATATTTTAAGCTTTATATCAGGGGTCAGCAACGTTCGGCACGCGGCTCGCCAGGGTAAGCACCCTGACGGGCTGGGCCAGTTTTATTTACCTGCTGACGCGGCAAGTTCGGCCGATCGCGGCCCCCACTGGCCGCGGTTCGCCGTCCCGGGCCAATGGGGGCGGCGAGAAGCGGCGTGGGCGAGCGATGTGCTGGCCGCGGCTTCCCGCTTTATATAGTCAAACAGATGCGTTGGCAGCACAGTATTCATCAGAAAGAAGTACACTGCAGTACACTGGCATTTGGATCACTGAATATATATCTGAATCCAGTTCTCAAATATGGGCAAAAGCCACTTACATCATGTAGCTATACAAGGAAATCAAGCAAGGCTTTTAACATATGGTAGACTCTTTCGTTAAAAAAAACAAGCTGCCTTCTTAGCACATACCAGAAAGGAAGATATTTAATTTCATGACAGGGTATGGGGGGGGAATGCCTCAGTCAACATTATTATTCAGGGATAATAAATATAAGAGTAGAGCTGACTTCATATTTTTGGTTGTTGTATGTACATCAAGTTCAGCTAACATAATCTGAAAGGGGACACATCAACCCCAATACTCAACAGAATATACAAGATCCATTCACAGCAGAAGTCATAAATCATTAATTCTAGGAGCCTGGTGGGGCAATGCTCCCCAGGAACATTTTTGGGGAAAGCTAGTTCAATGCGAGTGCCTGGACAGCACTTCCATTCCTGGCCAAAAAAATTATCTGAAAGTAAGATCACAAATTTACATACACTGGAAGCATGCATACAGCATCGGGCATCAATTCATTTAATCCAGCACTTAGATAGCTTCAGTTTCTCCCTATTATTAGGCTCTCTATAAGGACTATTACTCTCTGATTTGTCAATGATAAATTCTCTATACCACTGGTCCCATGTCTCCTTGGGCTTTGGAGTCTCCCCTCTCTCTTACCCACACAGTGCATAAGCCAGTGATGCCAAGAGTTGAGCTTTTGGAGGATTCCCCTGAGCACTGCCATACAGGAACAGACTCTCCATGCACCAGGTCTTAACACCATTTGGCCCTGTTGTCCCTCTGTCTGTACAGTGTCAGCAGCGTTGCAACCATACAGCCAGAGCGACACTCCAGGCTGCTCCAGCGGCAGCCATACTGATCTAGTATGGGGCGACTGCTTAAAAGTTGTCAGGGCATTGCCCCCTGGCTCTGCGGCCTATGGAAATTTGAGCAAATGCAAAAGCCATGGGTGTTCGACCCTCCTCCACTCCAATTTGTGCCACTGCTTAGTTTATACTGCTCTAATATACAATTATATGGCATTTAATTTACATCACACTTACAGGCTTCGGCTTCTCTCTTGAATTACACTTTTTTAAATGCTTTTGTAATTGATCTTCATATACGGTGCTAAAATCAGAGAAAAAGAAATAAGCAATGACAGTCATAATTTTAACAATGAACATACGAATGTATTTAAAACACACTTACTGTTTTGGGTCAAGAGGGCATGGAATTCTTTTCCTGTCATTTTCTTCCTAGTGGGAAAGAAAATGTTTATTTTGTTAGCACAAAATTATGGTGCGGTCAATGTCCTTATTTTAGAAAATCTGTCTAGAAATGTGTCTGCGGGTCACAAAAATAAAAATCTTTGCTAGCCTCGATTTATTGGAATTAGATCAAATGGAGAAATACAATGTGTTTCAGTTGGATAAACCATGCAATTTAACTGGGTGATGGATGGAGGAATATTGTGCAAGTAAAGGCCTTAATACATCACCAAGCCCAGGGTCGCACAGGTATTCCTGGTCCCTTGTGACAGGCAGTAATTATTCTACCTACACCTTCTGGGGTTCTAGCTCGATGTCAGACTCTGCAGAGGCCAGCAGTGATTTCTTAGTAAGGTTTCCAAGAAGGGGACGTCACCTGAGGATCCTGAAGCGAAGAGTAACTAACAGCATAGCAGATTTAGCAAAAAATTCAAAGCACAGAAAAGTTGGCAGAGGAGATGGGGGACAACACCCCTCTCCTCCCCCGGCTGGGAAGCTACTGGGGAGCTGGGTGAGCGGCTGACACCCCCCCTGCCAGCGATCACTGCACGCAGGCTCTGACTCCAACAGCCCGGGGCCCGGCGGAGCAGCGGGGGTTGCGCTGACACTGCCGTCGCCAGGCTTAGCAGGGCGGTGAGCCCCAGGGGCCGGGCTGGGCCCGGCCCTCACCAACCCGCGGGAAAGCCTGGCGAGTATGGCCCGTCTCTATGGGGTTCGCTCTGGGGATACGTGCCAGCCCCTCCCCCAGCGAGTCCATAGGGGGCTATAAAAGAGCCCGCAGGAGAGGGACTCCCCACCCCTTCCTAAAGCCCCGAAGGTGAGGGGCCCAACCAGCCACCCCTCCGTGACCGGTCCGCCTGCCGGGCGGGCAGTGCCCGGCGCCCCGGTACCTCCTGGTGTCCGTGCTCCCCGCAGAAGAGTCTCCCCTGAGCCGGGATCATCTTGCAGAAGCGCTTCTTCCGCTCCACGAAGTAACCGCACCGTCCGGGCACAGGAACCCGGAGCCCCCCGGCCGCAGCCGGCTCAGCTGCCCGCCTCTCCCCGCTCCCGACCGCAGCCGGCTCGGCCGCCATCTTGGTGCCCCGCCCCCCGCGGGAGCCGAGCGCCAAACTCAAAGCGCAAGATGGCGGCGGAGAGTCTGTTCGGCCGGTTGGTGCCGGTGCAGGTGAAGTGCCAGGGCTGCGAGGACAGGTGAGAGTCGGCCCGGGGACGCGCGGCCATAGCGAGGCCTTCTGTACTGGGCTGGGACTCGGCCGTGCGGGACCCCAGAGCAGGGCCCCGAGGCCGCCTCCTCCCCCTGGAGCCAGCCGCCCTGAGCTGGGGTGAGAGGCCGGCGGGGCTGAGCGTTCATCCCATCTCTATAACACGGGCGGCCTCTGGCCTTGCCGCTGCTCGAACCCACCCTGGGCCTCTAGGGACCCGTCAAGGGGGCCCCAGAGCAGGTGAGGGTACCTGGGTGGGCTCCTCAAACAGCACCCGCCGTAAGGGGCCGGGGGAGCCCTGCAGCTTTTCTCTACAGCCCGGGCACCGTGGCACAGTCCTGGGGAAATCCCGGGTCTCTGCGAGTTTATCCATGGCCTGCAGCAGGGCCAGGAGCTCATCACCACCCAGCGGCTCAATGCGCGGGGAGTTTCCGGGGTTGCCATGGAGTCTCTCGGACATGCATACAATAGGGGCAGCTAGTGCAGCATGGGCAATCCTGTCTGGTCGCTGTAGGAGCGCGCACTGCTGCATTGGCATTTCCAGGATGTCCCAGTGTGTGCAGAGTGCTTGGCTTGCAGACGTGTAAGGCGTTTACAATCGGAAGCCCAGAACAGACCACCAGTATACTGTTCTTATTAACTCTAGATCTGTGGTTTTCAACCCTTTTTCATTTGCAGACCCCTACAAAATTTCAAATGGAGGTGCTGACCTCTTTGGAAATATTAGACATAGTTTGCAGAGCCCCAGGGGTCCATGGATCACAGGTTGAAAACCACTGTTGTAGACATATTCTCTGCAAGTTTGTCTCTCTGTTCACTGGAGAATCATCCCCTTGTACCCTTGGCATGATCACCATTCCATTCAAACCAGAACAACTACTTAAAGCTCCTAGCAGAAGTACTATTTTTCTCTCTGTTTCCATGCACAGTGGTATCTGGGGAATGGGGCGGTGATGAAGGAATTTATTCTCCCCAGAGCTTTTCCATCCTAAAATCCAGGAACCTCTTTCTGAGGCCTCCCCAACCAGATGTCTCTGAATGCACCCGTTGGGAACCAAATCCATTAGCTAGAACTTACCTTGTAGGATGTAGCAAGTGAGTTGCCAAATAATAGGTTTGGCTGATGGTGTTTGGGAAAGTCAGGCTAAAGCTTCAACCTTAAGTAAACGCTGTCAATTTGAAATATAGTCAATTTCAGAAACTTAGGCTCAGTCTAGAGAATGTATATTTTTGTGTGTAATTTCCCAAGTTAAAAACAACAACTTGAAAGCAGAAATTTCACAATGTGGAATCACATTGACACCCATATGGTTTATCAGCAGGGTTAGAAACTATAGCTTCACATTACAGTTTTTGTTTCACTTGAGCTAACAGTAGTAACTTACAAAAGTAGTAGGTTGTCATACTCCATGTGGAACAGCCATGAGAGGGTGAATGGGAGACACTTAGCAAATATAGCAAATATCTATGAAACCCACTGGCTAACAGCAGAAGAATGCTGAGACTCAGGCATCTTGAGTTCCATCCAGGTTCTAGAGAAGAGTATACTCTAGTGGTCCTAGACTCGTCTGCCTATGTCCCCGGCTTGTCTTCCTGCCCCATCCTCGCTACTATAGCTCTTTGGCTTTCTCTCCTTCTCCAGCTCCTAGCCAGTCCCAGTCTTTCCCCTATTTTGACTCCTAGTCTCCCTGCCTGGAGTCCTCATGCCAGCCTCTCACCAGGCTCCTTGTCCCTAACTCACATTCCCCCAAGTACCTCCTCTAATCTCAGGTTCCCCTCTCCTCACATATTCCCAGTGTCTGGTTTTTGACTGAAACTTCTGGTTGAAAAGGGACCCTGGCAGCTCTGGTCAGCACCGGTGACCGGGATGTTAAAAGTCCAGTTGGCTGTGCAGTGGGGCTAAGGCAGGCTCCCTTTCTGCCCTAACTCTGTGTGGTTTCTGGAAGCGGCCGGCGTGTCCAGCTCCTAGGCGCAGGGGCAGCCATGGGGGCTCCATCCACTGCCCCTGCCCTGAGTGCTGGCTCTGCAGCTCCTATTGGCTGGGAACCATGGCCAATGGGAGCTGTGGGAGCGGCAACTCGAGGTGGGGGGAGTGTACATAGTTGCCTGGCTGTGCCTCTGCCTAGGAGCCGGATATGCTGGCCGATTCCGGGAGCCGCCTGGGGTAAGTGCTGCCTGGCTGGAGCCCGGAGCCCTCACCCCCTCCCACACCCACACTCCTTCCCAGAGCCCTCACATCCCCCTCCTGCACCCCAACCACTGCCCTGAGCCTGCACCCCAAACCCCCCAGCCCCACCCCACACCCCCAGCTGGAGATCATACCCCCTCCTGAACCCCAAGCCTGAGCCACCTCCCACATCCCAAACCCCTCGGCCACAGCCCAGAGCCCCCTCCTGCACCCCAAACCACTCATCCCTGGCCCTACCCCCAGAGCCTTCACCCCAGCCAGACCACTCACCCCCTCCTGCACCCCAACCCCCTACCCCAGACTGGTGAAAGTGAGTCAGGGTGGGGGAGAGCAAGTGACAGAAGGAAGGGGGATGGAGTGAGTGACGGTGGGGCAGGGGCGGGGCCTTGGGGAATGGGCAGGGCAAGGGTGTTTGGTTTTGTGATTAGAAAGTTGGCAACCCTACCAGCTCTTTGTCCCAGACTACTTCCACTGCCCCACCGTGGTCCCACTCTAGTCCCCTCTGCATCTGAGTGAGACAGCTTCCTTCTCCATGCTGCCTGGGCACCAGTATGGGGAGCACTGGGAACACCTGAGTCTTCCTCCTCTCTGTTCTTGTGCCTGTCACCACTAGGACCCACAGAAATTGCAAAGAAAGTCCATCTCATTGTGTGTAGCAATTTTGGAGACTCTAACAAGTCTCTGTTGAACATGCACAAATTGAAATTTTTCAGAGGCTTATAACTTGATCAATTTGGGGTAGTTTTTCATAGGTATGGCAAAAGGTACATCCCTGTCAAATTTCAAGCCCTTGCTCCAAAGCATGGGCACACTAAAACTTCTCAATGCAATTGGTGTAAGAATTTTTTTAATATGGGCAAAACAATATACTTTCCCCCAATCGCATACTTGAAAATGGCTGCTACATTTTTGTTAAAACTATAAAATAAATAAATAAAAATCAGTCTTTAGGCAGGTGTCTGGCATGGGAAATTTCAGCCTGAATCCTTAAAGTCAGGTAAAGTTATAAGCAACTGAAAACAGGTTGTTATAATGTGAATTATTGGGTAACCTTAATTATAGATGTTGCTACCAGCTCCAACTATAATAATTAAAGTTACAGTGCTTCCAGTATTTCATTTGGGATGGTATTCTACAATCTTTTACTCCTCATTGTTAGGAATGGTTTCTTGACATTTGATCGAAATTTTCCTTTTAAGCTACATTATTTTTATTTATTTAAATAATTGTTTGAGGAACGAGTTCTTGATTTGATGATAGTACTTTACAGTTGCATATTTGTTACATAGGAGGATAAATGTTCGAGTAAGGATTGAGCTACAATCAACATCTAATCCTGTTCATAAAAAGGTGTGTGGTGTTTTCTTTGCTCTTCCTTAAGTATTTTAAAAATCTTCTTACTGATATGTAAAGAGAAAGCAACATGAAGTTTTACTACATTTGTCATTTAGCAGGTTAGGGTCTTAACAAATCTGGTGTTTATTAGTATTCAGGTTTGTTGGCACGTGTTGGTTTAGGGTTTTCTTTGCCTTATTAGCCCTTTATCTCAGTTTTACACTTCAATAGATCTTAGTAACATATGATGCATTTGAGGGTTGATAACCACAACAGTTTAGAGAGCCCATTGCTAGCAACAGAGTTTCGTTTTTTTTTCTTTTTTCCAGCACTGACCCATCTTCATTACGTTTGACTCTTAATTTAGAATTCTAAACTGTTGATTTTAAAGATATCTGAATGTCACACAATTCCCTTTTTTCTATTTAATTAAAAGAAGCACTTCTTCATGATATGGTGAATGTATTACATTGTAATTTTATAGATAGCTGTGCTAGATATTTTGAACATATGTAGCCCATCATCATAGCATCATTCTGCCTGTTGCAAGACAAAGGCCTCATAATGTTATTTCTAAACATCTTGGACATGCTAAAAAAAAAAAACTCACCCTTTTTCCAGCCCTTTACATTGTTGTGGCCCTTTTACCCGGCATAAAGGGACTTTAAAAGCCCTGGTCCCAACTGGGGGAGAATTCCCACAGTGCAGGAATTGAGGAAGACAGCAGTCACAGGCTGTCTTCTGAGGGCTGCCTTGCAGATCCTCGTGTAGGTGGTAAAGCTGCAGCATGCTGAGATTCTGGGTTGTACTGCTGCATGTAGGAATGTGGGACAAGCTGCCATATTTTAGAGACAGGCCCCCAGGGCTATGTAACTTATTCTGGGGTGCAAGCAGCCCAAAATTGAGGATGCAAAGGTGGTTTAAAGCAGTGGTTCTCAACCTGTGGTCCACAGACTCCTGGGGGTCTGCAGACTATGTCTAAGAGGTCCATGAAAGACTTAGACTGAAAACTGACTGAACAGAATTCTACTATATGCACAGACAATAGATTTCCAAAGGAATCCGCACCTCCATTCAAAATTTTCAAAGAGGTCCCCACCACCATTTGAAATTTTTTAGGGGTCCGCAAAAGAAAAAAGGTTGAGAGCCACTTGTTTAATCCTAACCCTCTCCCTCAGGCCTGTGAGTTCTGTGCTTTACCTCCAAGAGTTGCAGCATGCTAGTTGGCCTTTCTATAGTTACCATTCATTGGTTTCTGTTCTGTTTTTAATGCAGTCCATTTTTATCATTTGTACTTGGAACAGTCAAATATAGTCCAATAAATACCTTTGCTTTGGAAGTCTTCGCTGCTGAAAGTTAACGCAGCCTTGCTTTGAGATTACAATCTCTTTGTGGGAGGTAGTTTTTTCTCTTTTGTAATATTTAAAATAGAAATTGCCCTAAAATGCAATGTAGCTGATGTTCTTTTTCCCTCTTATTAGTGGTCATAGGAGTCTTATTTGCTGTAGAAAGTTAAAACATTTTTGGGTACTGCCTGAATATATTAATATAACTAGTTTAAAATAACGATCTTTAAAAATGTTTATTTTTAGGACTTAGTAGTACAGTTGACTGATGATGCTGACCCCTTTTTCCTTTATAACCTGGTTATATCTGAGGAAGACTTTCAAAGGTAAGATATCAAGTTAATGTGCTCTTTATGAAACATTAAGAAATGGTAATAAAGAATGGATATTTTTTAATTTAAAGTTCTGCTTGACAATGAAATAGAACTTGGCTCTTATTGCATTTTTCTGCCATAGATTGCTTAGTGCTCTACAGAGGAAGATAGTGTCATTGTCTTCCATGTATAGATGGGAAAACTGAGGCATAGAGAGGTGAAGTGACTTGCCCAAAGTCATCCAGGGCAATGATGGAACCCTGGTTTCCAAAGTTTCAGTCCAGTGCCATAACCACTAGACTACACTGCCTCCTATTTTTGTACCTCTAAAATCTTTTCTGGGTGTTTGTGAACATTTCGCAAGGATTTCAGTTGGAATACTCTCAAAAGGATTATTTCTAGGAGCAAGGTTTCACAGAATTGGGCCATTCAATTAAAGATATATTTTGGATCATCACATTGTTAGGTCTCAATTTAATAGTAATCACTCAGGAAAAAGACCTCAGTGTGGACAGCTCAATGAAAATCTCTGATCAATATGTAGTGGCAGTCAAAAAGGAGAAATAAAACCCCAAACTTATTTGTATTACAGTAGTTTTCAGAGGCCACAATCATCTACTCCATTATGCTAGGCTTAATGTACATACACAGAATAAAAGAAAGTTCCTGCCTCAAAGAGTTTGCATTGTTAAGTCCCCTATTTAGTATGTCTATCCAAGTAGTTGTTAACCCTATACAATATAGTGTGCTCAAAGAAGATTCTAATTTGAAAGATACATATTTGTTCCCACATAATTTTGTTTAGTGAAAGCTAATTTGCAAAACATTCAAAATTAAAATACCACACCTCTTGTGATTGTGATTAGCTACTTGACAGTGTTTCTTTTGTACTCTGGATTAAAAATTGAAATGATAGGTGTTAAACTTTTAATGAATTAATTAGTAAAATATTTATTTACTTAGTGCAAACAAAAATATTTGATAGGAATGTAACTTGTATTTCCCCTCTTTCTTTATGTAGTTTAAAATGCCAGCAGGGTCTTTTGGTAGATTTCTCTGCTTTTCCGCAAAGATTTATAGATCTACTTCAACAGTGCATTCAGGAACAAAACAAAGATACCCCAAGGTAAATAATGTTTTGGTACCACATTACTAACTTTTTAAAAAAAATTCTTAAACAAAATACACACACAATAAGCCAAGCACTCCAAGAAGCAATACAAGACCAAGGAAAGTCAATGGGACTTAGGCTTCAAGTGCCTAAGTCACTTTTGAAAATGAGAATTTTCACTTCAGTGCCTTTGAAAATGTTACCCCTTATCCAGTGTGTTTATTTTTACAAAGTTCTTTTAAAGTGCATGCATCTTTAGAGGTCTTTTTATTTGCAATTTCAAGTATAACATGTATGACTCACTTTTATAAAATCTCAGAAAAAGCAAAAACTACATATTCACTGGCTTTTTTTATTTATTATGCATACAGGAATATTTTTGGTGCTAGCATTATACGATATTTATATGAAGATACTGTTGTAGTATTGGAGTCCCTTTTATATTAACATAACATTAATTTGGTAAAGATTTAGGCCCTGATCCTGCAACTTAATCCAAGCAGGTGGGGCTTCTGGAACTATACAGATCCAGTTGTGTGATAAGTGCCTTGATGATGATGATGATGATTTTATAAAGTGAAAAAAAAAAACCTGCAATTTATAGATAGTTTTGTAAACAAAGATATGTTATATACTAAATGTGGTTTTATTTCATTTGTTTTTTAAGGTTTTTGCTGCAATTAGTTTCTTCAGCATCTGTTTTAGATCACACACCTGCTTTTTTAAATGTAGTGGAGACAAACCCATTTAAACATCTTACACATCTCTCACTAAAATTTCTGCCGGGAAATGATGCAGAAATAAAGAAGTTTTTAGCAATCTGTTTGAAATGTATTAAGGTAAGATTATAGATTTGTAATATCTGTAATTAGGTCCTGATCCTCCAAACACTTAATGTTGTGGGGTTTGTTTTAATTTTTTTTTTTTGGTTAATTTTAGTTCATGTTGTGGCTTTGCAGATAGTTATATAGGTATATATATTGTAATTCAATCAATACACATTCTCTCTAAGGATAAAAATATCAAAGGTGCATGTATATTTAAAATAGCTATCAAATTATAAAAAAAAATCGCAATTTGCGAGATTTTAAAAAAAGTCACTATTAATCACACTATTAAACAATAGAATACCAATTTAAATTTATTATGAATATTTTGGGATTTTTTTCTACATTTTCAAATATATTGGTTTCAATTGCAACACAATACAAAGTATACAGTGCTCACTTTATATTATTTTTTATTACAAATATTTGCACTATAAAAAAAATATAAAGTGAGCACTGTACACTTTGTATTGTGTTGCAATTGAAACCAATATATTTGAAAATGTAGAAAAACATTCAAAAATATTTATAATTTAAATTGGTATTCTGTTAACAGTGAGATTAAAACATCAGTTAATTGCTACTATTTTTTAAATCTAGTTAATTTGTTTTGCGTTAATCTCTTGCGTTAACTGCAATTAATAATGGCCCTAATTTAAAACAAAATCTGATAATTTGAATTGGCAGAAATTAGACACTTTAGATATGTGATTAATGTGGCAATGCAAATGTTGAGTTAATTCAGCCTCTCAGTATTGGTTGCTTCCTGGCTTTGTGCTGACCCGCTGTACAAATGCAAGAGTAAAATACTGTAAAGTTATGGATTTCGATCCTGCTGTTGGATCTGCATGTGCATACCCATGCGTAAGTACAGAGCCTTCTTTAATTCAGTGGGGTTTCATTTGCCATTTATAGATTGGAAAGTGAAATTGATGTGCTTGGTAGCATATCAGGTTTAAATAATGTTATGAAATGAACAATGATTTCAGAGTTTGAAAAATCCTTAACCTACAGTCCACATCTCACTAATTTCTTCACATGTAATTTTTGTCTCCTTTTATTTTAGTGCAATGTAAATGTAAACTGCCTTTGTAACAAACTGTTTTTAAAAGAAAAGGCTCACACAGATTTTTCCCCTTAACATCTAGGTTAGGGTCTAAGTTCCCTCTAAGCTGTGCGGCTGTGCAGCAGGCTATCAAGGGCCACGCAGGCATGCAGCAGGGAGAGGTGCCTCTCCTCCGGCCCTGGTCTTGGAGCTGCTGCGGGCAGGGAAAGGGCAGGGGGGAGTCCTTCCTCCCCGCTGTAGCCTGTACCCCAAATCCCTCATCCCCGGCCTCCCCCAGAACCCGCACAACCAGCCAGAGCCCGAGTCCCCTCCCGCACCCCTGCCCCAGCCCTGAGCCCCCTCCTGCACCACAAATCCCTCATCCCCAGCCTCCCTGAGAGCCCACACCCCCAGCCAGAGCCCTCACTCTCCCGCACCCCACTCCCTGCCATAGCCCTGACCCCTGTCCCGCACCTCAAACCCCTCATCCCCAGCCCCACCCCAGAGCCCGCACCCCCAGCCAGAACCCTTACCCCCCGCACCTCAACCCTCTGTTCCAGCCCTGACCCCCCTCCCACACTCCAAACCCCTCGCCCCCGCCACATATCACCTCCATAGTGGTGCACATAACAAAATTCATTCCGCACACGGATATAAAAAATTAGAGGGAACATTGGTCAGGGTTCTCAATTTTTTTTGCTGGGACCCCCTTTGAAAATATTTCAGGCTGTGAAGACCCCGCCATACCATGCCCTCCCTTACTTCTGCGCTGTTGCTGGGGGCAGTGCTGCCTTCAGAGCTGGGCACCTGGCCAGCAGCTGCTGCTGCTCTACTCACCCAAATCTGAAGGGCTTGGGCTGGCAGCTTGCAACGCTCCCATAATAACCTTGCGACCCCCAGTTTGAGAACCCCTCATAATCTAGGTCAGGGGTTGGCAACCTTTGGCACGTGGCTCGCCAGGGTAAGCACCCTGGCGGGCCGGGCCAATTTGTTTACCTGCCACGTCCACAGGTTCGGCCGATCGCGGCTCCCACTGGCCATGATCAGCACATCCCTCGTCCCACGCCGCTTGGGCCTGGGACTGCGAACCGCGATCGGCCGAACCTGCGGACGTGGCAGGTAAACAAACTGGCCCAGCCTGCCAGGGTGCTTACCCTAACGAGCTGCGTGCCAAAGATTGCCGACCCCTGATCTAGATGTTAATGCAACTTCTTTTCAAACAATAAAGTGCAAAAATCCTGTTTTCTTGGGGAAATTTTAAGAAAAACAAACTTTTTTACAATGGAAAAAAGGTTTTTACTTTAGGATTCATGAAATATATAATTTAGTATTTAGGCTGTCTTGATAAGAATTTGTTATTAGCGTAATGGACATGTATTTTTGGACTTTACATGTAGAAATAATGGAATATGGATTCTAAATAATGTTTTTCAATTGGCAAATAAGATTGTATTGATTTAAAATGTCAATTATATGTAGGAAGAAAAGTCGTTATTGGAACAAAAGCTTAAAAAAACTGAAGATGACCTTACCAGACAGCTGAGCTACACGCAGCAGGTAATTGATGTTAGGCCTTCCTGCCTTTGGTATAATAAGTGTTCAGTCTTCTGAATTTTCTGTATACCGTACCACATGTAAAGGTATATTACAAATTGCAGAATTTCAATAGGGTCCAGTTTTTATAGACCACTTCGTAAAGTATTATCTTTTCTTGTTTTGTATCTAATCTTATATCTGTGCATTTATTTTGAATTTTGTGGCCTGGGGAGCATTTACTGCTGGTGGCTAATAGAGGTCTGGTTGGTTACATGGTGCTGAGAAACAACCAATTTTGGCAGGGCAGAAGGAGGTGAAGTGAAGTTCAAAAGTAGCCAGTGTGATGAATTGTTCTGAAGAAAGGTCAAAACATCACACTAAACACACTTTACTTTCCCCCGTAAGCACCTGCTGTGGTTGCCATAGGAATATTATGTGGTCAGATTTAAGAGAATAAGTAGTTCACAAGACTGTCTCTATATTGAAATGTGTCACACAATGGAGATATTTTGGAACCCTTTACTTTGTGTTATGTATGAAGCAAAGAAAAATAGAATTAAAATTGTTGGTATTTATGTTCTAAAATTCCATTTAAGATGGATGATGGGCCCTGTTGTGGTTTCACTCCTTTTTAGAGGATGACAGCTGTGGGTCATACAGTAAAGCTACACAGACTGTACTTTGGTCACTCTTGAGTTATAGAGCCTTAATGTTCCTTTTTTTCCCCTTCTGTGGGCTTGTCAGACAGTTGACATTTTAAAAACACATTCATTCATTTTTTTTGTAATTTTTATAGAATTGGAACTGCTATATACTTCTGTCATGCAAATTTAAAAGAAAAATGCTACCAAGAAGTATATTTTTTTCATACTGAAACGTTGGTTTTTACAGTGCTGTGGCCTGGTTGTTGAGTGTGTTCACTCTTACTTTTACTTGATAGGAGAGAATACCATGCTGTGGTTAGAGCATAAGGTTGGAAATTATGATTCTTTTACCAGCTCTGTCATTGTTTGATGACCCTCTGGTTCCCATCTGTAAAGCCGAGATGTATGTCACTTGGTGGTGTGAGAATTCAGTTAATTCTGTAAAGCACTTTGAGCTCCTTGGATGAAAATCACAATATAGTGCAAAGTATTGTTCAGTATAATATGATACATTTTTCAAGATTCTTTATGCTGTCTCAACAAACACAGAGCCTGTCAGAAAAGAGCCGGGAATTAGATAAGTTGAGAAGTGAATGGACGTCACATACAACAATGCTAACAAATAAGCACACTCAGGAATTGACAAATGAGAAGGAAAAAGCTCTCCAGGTATGAGAACTGAAGGAAAAACAAACCAAAAATATTGGTACCCGTTTAGTAGTTTAAGGTTAGGTTCACTGAAGCATTTCTTCCTTTGTTTTCCAACTTCTCTTTTCATTATAGGTGCAGACTCAGTACCAACAACAACATGAACAACAGAAAAAAGAATTGGAAAACTTGCATCAGAAAAGTATCCAACAGCTACAGAATCGATTGTCAGAACTAGAGATTGCCAACAAGGACCTAACAGAAAGGAGATACAAAGGAGACTCCACAATTAGAGAACTTAAAGCAAAACTCTCTGGGATAGAAGATGTATGGAATGTTCATTTGTATTTTCAAATCAATATTTGTATAGGGATAACACAATCAATACACTCACACAAGATACAGCGTAATCTGTGAAAATACAGCAAATGTTCAGGTTGTGGGAATCCATACTTCAGGTTCTGAAGTATTTATTTTTACAAGCTATTTCTATTATCTTATTGATATCCTTGGTTAAGGGTTAGATATGTTTATTCAAACTTAAGGTATTGCAGTGTTTTTGTTTTAAATATTTTTTCCAAATGTTCTAGGAGTGCCAGAGAGCAAAGCAAGAAGTGTTGTCATTGCGTCGGGAGAATACTACGCTGGATGCTGAATGCCATGAAAAAGAGAAACACATTAATCAGCTACAAACACGAGTTGCAGTTTTGGAACAAGAGATCAAAGATAAGGACCAGCTAATTATTAGGACAAAAGAAGTATTAGATGCAACACAAGAACGAAAGGTTCTGTTAGTTTCTAAATATACTGTTTCTAAAGTACTGTAGAACCATGCTTAATTGCTATTCACAACTGGGCAATTGTGGGTTACCAGATTTTGTGAACTGCGTAAATAGATTAACCATGATTTAAAGAATTAAGGTTACAGCATTGAAAAATATATTTGACTCATTTTGACAAATGTAGTTCAGTTACAATTATAATACTTCGTAGTCCAACAGTAAATGTACACTACTTTTACAAAATATATTAATCTCTTACTATTAGATCTTTGACATATGAGACTGGATTTTTCTGTTTGTTTAAAAACTGGATTAGTTTTTCACTAATTAGTGAAAATTAGTGAGGTGGTTCTTCTAGTAGTGTCCCTATGGGTGCTCCACTTCAACTGTGCATGTGCCCCATTGCATCTTCTATCAGAGATTTTAGGTAGCAGTGCCCGTTTGGCCCTTACATGCATTCTACTCTGCACTGTGGCTGAATAGAGCTGCGTGGGCAGACTGCCTTCATTTTTTTTCTCAGCTGCCTTGGGCTAAGATGGAGCCTCAAAAGTGTCAGAGTTGAGCTTATTTCAACTAGGTTTTTTTCATAGTTTTTATGTAGCTAGCTAGTTGTAGTGATAGTAGTTAGTAATTACTAATAATAATAATAATTATCATTATTATTTATTGACTGTTGTCGTTTCAGGTTTTTTTTCCCCTGCACGGAACTTTAGGTTGCTGAGAGGGTATGCCCCGCTCTTCAGGCTTTAAACATTGGCTTTCATGCCGGGAGGCTATCCTGGTGAGCGATGGGCACTCCCAGTGCATCCATTGCCTTGGGAAGTCACACATCCCCCAGAAGTGTAATTTTTGCCTGGCATTAAAATCAAGAGCCAGAAAGAACCTGGAGATTAAATTGTGCTGCCTTGTGATGGAGAGCTGTGTCGTCTAGTTTCTGAACCAGGCTAGGAGACCCCCTCCATACACTGGTCTCCAAGCAAGTTGAGCTCTTCAACCACTTTGGCGTAACATTCCCTTAGAACTTCTAGGAGGGAAAACTCAAGAAGCCTCTCAAAAAGACTCTGGGAAAAGGAGCTCGGGTTCCCCAGATAGGGAATCTACTTCAAGGAAGCACTGGTTGCCGATTGAGACAACTATTGTACTTTTGCACCTGCTGGTTCCTGACTCAGTACCCACGAGACTGCAGGTTCCTCAGGTACTGTTACCACCACTAAACCCAAAGAATCTAAGGGTTCCAGCACGCCATTGGTACTATCAGGAGATTGAGACGACAAGGAGAAGACTATCTCTTCTAAGTTAGTACTCAAAGAATCAGCCAGGTTCTTGGTACCTCCCATTTCATTACTGCAGAAGACCCGACTAGCATCTAGTGGTCATTCCTTGGAGTGCATAAAGCCTACAGTACCGTTTGCTCCCTCTACCATAATCACCTCTGCTCAGGCTACAGTCACCTCAGTACTGACTACCATGTTGATACTGCAGGAGGTTAAATTTTCACAACACCTCACAGTGACAGAGATGCCTGACTCCCCTTTGTTCAGTACTGAGGACCTCGAAGTCTCCAGATATTCACCCAGTACCGACAGAGTCACCACTTTTTTTTCTACTGGTGCTGCCACCTACAAAGTGATGTTGAAGATGATGATATTGGGGATTTCTCATTGGTTTCTTAAATTCTGGTTCAGGTTTTCCCTCCTCACGATCAGAGGAGTATTTTTCTGGAGACTGCTAGGGAGGTGGAACATATTTGAGAGGCAGCCTCAAGCTCCATCCTGGTGGTATGAGCACTCGTGGATGGGCCCACTCAATTGCTGTAATGGGATCAATTGGTGGTATATTGCCAAAAATTCTCTAGGACCCCTAGCATCACTCATCGCCATGATAAGGCTAAACAATCTCCCCCATCCTCTCTTGAAGTTCTGAACCACAAGGAGAGACTTTTGAGGAGCAGGAGGTGAGAGCAGGCAACAAGGTCACCCTGCTAACAACATCTCCTCTTCATCCCCAGATAAAGCAGTTATGATTCCTTCACCATCCCAGGCTGATGACTTCAAACAGTTCCAGGAGCTCATTGAAAGGATAGCAGACTCCTTACAAATACAACTTGAGGAGGCTAAGGAATCACAACGTAAACTGCTAGATATTCTGCATACAGCATCATCTGCCCGAACTGCACCTATTAATGAGGCTCTGCTGACTCCTGCAAAAGTAATCTGGCATACCCCAGCGACAATACCATCCACCTGTAAGAAATATTAGGTTCCATCTGAAGATTTGGAATTTTTTCTCATCTCTCTCCTAACTCCCTAGTTGTCGAGGCTGTATGTGACCGTGGAAGGCCGCACCATTCTAAATCAGTGCCATATGACAAAGATCAGAAGCGTCTTGAGTTATTAGGTTGCAAATCATATTTGACTGCAACTCTATTTAAAATCACTATCAAGTGTTGATAGCAAAATATAATCACACCAACTACACAGACTTCAATTTGTTTATTGAGCATCTGCCACCAGAGCAGAGAGACTAATTTTAAGCATCAGAGGGGTAGCCGTGTTAGTCTGAATCTGTAAAAAGCAACAGAGGGTCCTGTGGCACCTTTAAGACTAACAGAAGTATTGGGAGCATAAGCTTTCGTGGGTAAGAACCTCACTTCTTCAGATGCAAGTAATGGAAATTTCCAGAGGCAGGTATGAATCAGTATGGAGATAACGAGGTTAGCTCAATCAGGGAGGGTGAGGTGCTCTGCTAGCAGTTGAGGTGTGAACACCAAGGGAGGAGAAACTGCTTCTGTAGCTGGATAGCCATTCACAGTCTTTGTTTAATCCTGATCTGATGGTGTCAAATTTGCAAATGAACTGGAGCTCAGCAGTTTCTCTTTGGAGTCTGGTCCTGAAGTTTTTTTGCTGTAAAATGGCTACCTTTACATCTGCTATTGTGTGGCCAGGGAGGTTGAAGTGTTCTCCTACAGGTTTTTGTATATTGCCATTCCTGATATCTGACTTGTGTCCATTTATCCTCTTGCGTAGTGACTCCAGTTTGGCCAATGTACATAGCAGAGGGGCATAGCTGGCACATGATGGCATATATAACAAACTTATTAATTACTAACTACTATCACTACAACTAGCTAGTTACGTAAAAACTATGAAAAAAACCTAGTTGAAATAAGCTCAACTCTGACACTTTTGAGGCTCCATCTTAGCCCAAGGCAGCTGAGAAAAAACTGAAGGCGGTCTGCCCACGCAGCTCTATTCAGCCACAGTGCAGCGTAGAATGCATGTAAGAGCCAAACGGGCACTGCTACCTAAAATCTCTGATAGAAGATGCAATGGGGCACATGCACAGTTGAAGTGGAGCACCCATAGGGACACTACTAGAAGAACCACCTCACTAATTAGTGAAAAACTAATCCAGTTTTTAAATAAACAGAAAAATCCACTCTCATATGTCAGCAAAGATCTAATAGTGGGTTTTAGAGATCATATCAGAAGGATACTCCATCCACTTTACTTCCCTTCCCCCATCCCTTTTCAGATACCCCTTTCATGAGCATCTTCTAATACAGGAAATGACTTCCTTCTGAACTTAGATGCTCTAGAACCAGTTTTGTACAACACAGAAGGAAGGGGTTCTATTCCAGGTACTTGCTGGTTTCTCAACAGGTTTGTGAAGATACAAAAATTCAAAATAAACCAGTCAGGTGTATATTTCCGTATAGTGATTCACTCATCCTACAGGTCAAAACCATTTTCAATACAGAATGCGTCCATTTGATTTCTCTTCCACTTTCAGAGTGTGTTTGAAGGTTCTGTCAGTGATAGCGGCTTACCTTTGCAGAAGAGGAATCCTAATATTCCTATATCTCAACAATTGGCTGCTAAAGGGGAACTCTTACCACGGTGGCCATTCAAAAGGCCATAGCACTGTTTCTTGACTTGAAACTGCACTTAGATGTTCAGAAGTCCACCTTGATACAGGTGCGAAGATTGGAGTTCATAGGAGTTTATCTCCAGGCAGTAGCAGCCAGCGCCTACCTCCCAACGCATAGGTTTACACCCCTATCTAGTTAAGTTACGATAGTCCAAATCAATCCGCAGCCATCTGTCAAAAACAGTCTGCAGTTGTTGGGGCATATGGCAGCTGGTACTTTTGTGATAAGCCATGCAAGTTTGCACATGTGCTGCCTCCCTGAGTGGCACAGAACTGTTTATTTGCTGAGTAAACACAGCTTGAACAAACTATTCTTGGTTCCTACTGCTGTGAAGAAGTCCTTTGGCCAGTGGAAAGACTTTCACAACATCATCTTTGCTCAACTATCTCCAACAGTCATAATAAGAACAGATGCATCCCTGTTGGGATTGGGGGAGCACATCTTACTAGAAACTGCTCAGGGCACATCAACTCTACACATCAACTTGTTGGAACTCAGGGCAATCACAAATGCTTGTCTCCATTCTATGCTGTTGAGCGGGGCAAATATGTGAAGATTATGATAGACAATATGTCATGTATGGTTTTATATCAACTATCAAGGGAGAGCGAAAGCCATGAGATTCTGGAATTGGTGTGTGTGAAGTCATGTCAGCATCTCAACAGCTTACCTTCCCAGCATTCAAAACATCACCGCAGATAGCCTCAGCAGATGCTTCTCTTGGGATCATGAGCAGGAGAGAGATCCCATTGTACTCCACTGCATATTTCAATGTTGGGGCATCCCATAGATAGACCTGTTTGTCATGGCCAGAAACAGGAAGTGCTTCCAGTTCTACTTTAGGGGGGGACTGGGCCACCACTCCTTGGGAGATACCTTTCTCCTTTGCTGGATGTTGGGTCTATTGTATATGTTTTATCCAACTCCTCTAATATCCAAGGTGTTGATCAAGATAAGGAAAGACAAGGCCAGAGTTATTCTGATGGTTCCAACGTGGCCAAGACAGACATGGTTTCGTTACCTCATCCAGTTGGCTGCTTGTCAATCAGTCGAGCCTCCAGACCGTCCCTCATCTTCTCTCAGGATGTCTGTCAGATTCTTCACCCCAGCCTTGGGGTTCTTCACCTAAAAGCATGGCTGATGGCTGGTTCACTGGGCTAGAAACAACCTTTTCTGAGGTAGTGAGAAGAGTATCATTACATAGTATGGAGCAGTCTACCTGTAATAGTTACCTACAAAAGTAGATGAGATTTAGCCTCTGGTGTGAGCTAAGACACCATTCACCTGCATCCTCTTTGCTGTCAGATCTACTAAATTACATCCTAAACTGAAAACAAGTTGTTTTTTTAAGTTCCATTAGGGTACCTTGGGCAGCTGTTACGGGCTTTTCAATGTACACACATCTGATGACTGCAAGTCAAATGTCCACGAGTCAAATATCCTGCCCCTGTTTGGGACCTCAGCTTAGTCTTAGATGCTTTACAAGACCTGTCTTTGAGCCAATGGCAACCTGTTCTCTACTTATCTATGGAAAACAACCTTCCTGGTAATCATTACTTCTGCTCAACTCTTTGAGCAGATAGAGACTCTGATGGCATATCCCTGCTTTGCAGTATTCTTCAAGGACGAGGTCACATTGCAACCACATCCCAAATTCTAAAGCTGTCATCTGACTTGCACGTTTACCAATCTATTCTTCTTCCAGTTTTCTTTCCTAATCCACACCTGAATAAGGAGGATGTGGTATTATGTACATTTTGATGTGAGGAGGGCATTAGCCTTATACTTGGACAGGACAAAGCCATTTAGAAAATCTCGTGGGTGGTTTGTGTCTTTTGTAGAAGATCTAAGGGATTTCCAGTTTCCAAGCAAAGACTCTCTAGGGCACTGGTTCTCAACCTATTTGCCATTGTGGGTAGCATATGCAACTCTTTCTGTGTTATGAGGGCTGCATCCACACTATATACTACCTGTGTGGCCCTGAGGGTGTCACGGGGGCTGCAGCTGTGTGTTGTTTGGATCATGAGTTGAGAACCACTGCTCTAGATGGATATCTGTCTGCATTACGTTTTGCTATCAGTCCAATCATCTCCAGCCTCTTTCCAGAGTACTCCCATTCAATGAGACCTCTTTCTACTTCAATAGCCTACCTTAAGAAAGTTCCCATTGCTGAAATATAGTAAAGCCACAACTTGGACCTCCATACATAGCTTTTCTGAACATTCTGCAGTAATTCGTGACTCAGCTTCCGATGCTGTTTGGCTCTACTGTACTGTCTTCGATTTTTGGATTAGACTCCAAAGCCCTTCCCCCTCCTTAGAGGGTACTGCTTGGTAGTCACCTGAAGTGGAGCACCCATAGGGACACTATTTAAAGAAGGAGAGATTACTCACCCTGTTCAGTAACTAGTTCTTTGAGATGTGTCCCCCTATGGGTGCTTCACTTCTCCACATCCTTGCCGTCTGCTTCGTATTTCTCTGCTGTGGATCTTTGTGATAGAGAAGGAATTGACAGTGGGTCGCCTGCACAGATCTATTTAGCCATGTTGGAGAGTACTAGGCATAGTAGAGCGCATGCATGGGCCAAACAGGCACTGCTAGCTTAAAATCTCCAATTTGGAGGTGCATGCCCACCTGAAGTGGAGCGTTCATAGGGACCACATCTCGAAGAAATACAGTGATTGCACAGGGGGAGTAAACCTCTCCCTTCTAATGCAAACTTTAACAAGCTTGATCTAAATCTGATTTAAGTATTGTGCTTTTCTTTTTTAAGAAGCACAAAACCTTGCTAATGGGAAAACTTTTTGATTTTTGAAGGTGATACTGGAAGAAAATACAGAGAAGAAACAAGTTCATGTAGGAAAACTTGAAGCAACAATAAAATCATTATCAGCTGAACTTCTTAAGGTTTGTTTAAACATGAAATTGTCCTAATCATGGGATTTCTTCATTTAATTTTATGCATTGTTGTCTAATTTAGAAAGGACTTTGATGTTGTTTAATAGGCTAACGAAATTATCAAGAAGTTACAAGGAGATTTGAAAACTCTAATGAGTAAATTGAAATTGAAAAATACAGTAACAATTCAGCAAGAAAAACTCTTGGCTGAAAAAGAAGAGAAACTACAGAAAGAGCAAAGGGAACTGCAGGAGACTGGACAATCTCTTAGAGTAAAAGAGCAAGAGGTAACTTAATGCATTATCTTAAACTTTAGTGCTGTAACCACTTATGTATGTGTTTTAAGCATGTGTTTACGTGTTTGCAGGATTAGCCTTGAATTGCTGTCTATAAAACTGAATGACTTTACCCATTTATTAAATGGTTTATTGAAACATAGAATTCTGGCAAATGTTAGTGTAATGTATTTTTCTGGTTGATTATAGCATAGAGGGAATAGAGAGCCCAGTTGAAGCAAAACTCTCAAATTTTAGTAGCTGTGCTAAATTTGACAAATTGTGAAGTCCAATAAAAATAGCTAAAATAATTACAAACTTAATGTTTGGATCAATAAGCTTCTGACCTAAAGAGACATTCAAATTAAAAAATAACGGTTATTTTTTAAGAGAGATTTTCTTGTATTACTTAAATAAAATATGAAAGATTTTTTTTTAAAAAATCTAAGTTTCACCCACTGTTTATGCTTTATCCTTTGTTTGCATTTGGTATTTTATTCAGTTTTGAGCATGAAAACAAACTGGTCAGTTCAGTTTCTGATTCTCTTGCATGTTTAAAATAAAAAAAAAAAAAAAAACCAAACACTTCATGAATGTGGTTTGGAACTGCAAACTTCATATCTGGACAGAACTTCCAGCAAAGACAGCCGGGGTTCAGGGCCATATCAGATTTCAGTTACTATTCGAGTTAGCTTTTGTTAAAAGATTTGCTAACTCCTACAATGAAAACTCTTTACCTTGTTACCCCTTTAAATACAAATAGAGAGAGGATACTATATTTGTACAGGGCTAGAATTTACAGAGTACAAAGCGTTCAGTGAATACAACAGAGTGTACAGAGCTATGAATCAACATACTTCTGAAGGGCAGAAACAGGCAAAAGTTGAGAGATTTTCAAAGGCATAAATAGTTGCCCAATGCCAACTGACACTTGTGCCTTTGAAATCAATGCCAAGAAAAAAGATCTTTTCATTGTGTAGTCACACCCCTTTTGTACTATGATTAATTTTGAATCTAAATAATCATTCAGTGTTGCTTTAAGCTCAACTGTACTTCTAAATCCTTGATATTTATTTACACTTATTTTCTTCAGTTTTTAATTATTGACATTTCTTGATTATGCTTGACGTAATTAGTATGGACATATTTCAGGTCTGCAAGTTGCAAGAACAGTTAGAAACTACAGTACAAAAACTGGAAGAAAGCAAGCAACTGCTAAAAACCAATGAAAATGGTAGGTTTACAGGATTCCTTCTTTAGGTCTCCCTGTTTTTGTTACTCGTGGGGGAATTCTGCACCACTGCGCATGTGCAGAATTTATGATCCCCTCAGATTTCTTTGCTTCCCTGCAGAAAAATGACTTTCTGATTGGGAAGCCACAAGAGTGGTCATGCCACCCTCCCCAGCAGTATGTTTTGGGTGCTCAGGGCAGCCGGCAGAGAGGTGAATCACTGTGGGGCAGGGAGCAGGACTGGGGAAGACCTGGCACCGGGCTCAGCTGCTAGTCCCAGCTGGGCTGGGGAGGACGGGACTTCCTCTTTCCCTGCACAGCAACTGGGGCCGTGTCAGACCCACTCCCAGATTTCTCCCCTGGCTGTAGGAAGCTCTACAACCCTCCCCCCCTTCACCTCCCCCCACACTTACTGCATCCATTGCTCCTCAGCTGCAGGGGAAGGGATCACTGTACAGGGAGCTGCTCCCTCATCTGCCCAATCCCCGTGCATCCAGACCCCCTCATACCCAGACCCTCCTGCTAAGCCTCGCCCGCCCCGCACACAACCCCACTCCCCCTGCACCTGTATCACCCTGAGGAACCACCCGCACCTGGGTTCCCCTGTAGAGTCCCATTACCGTTGCACCCAGAACCCCCCCCCCCCCCCAACAAGCCCCTGTGCATCTATATCTCCCTTCACACCCAGATCCCCCACTGAGCCGCCTGCACCCAGATTGGCCCACACAGAACCCTCTCAACCCACACCTGGATTGCCTCGCCACTAAGTCCCTCCACACTTGGATCCTGCTTTGCTGAGCCTGCCTGCCCCACACCTGGTGCACCTGGGGTGTTTCTGGGGCAGGCCCTGTTCTTGTGCTGTGTCAGGGTTGGGTGCAGCCTCATCGCTGAGTCCATGTTCTCTGGGGAAGCTGCACAGTGATCTCCCACCTCTGTGCAGCCAGTGGTCTGTGCTCCCCAATGCCATGCTGGAGTCTCCACATTTATTTGACAAATAAAATTTTGCAGAATTTTAAAATACTGTGCGCAGAATTCTTAATTTTTTTGGCACAGAATGCCCTCAGGAGTAAAAATTTGTATTAAAAACATTTTATTTCATTTTGAAGCTAGAAAGATTTGCTCATTTCTATCATGGCATACTTGTGATTTCCTGCTGTTCCCCTCCGCTCCCGCCAGCCCACAAGGATCAAACAATTTAGTAACCTCTGAGTTCATGTTTCCTGTGTATTATAGTAGCCCTAATTTTGTTTGGTGTGGTTCTTCACATAAAACAGAATTTCCCTTACAACTTTCTAAGTGTTACAGTTTAGAATTTGAAAAAGTTTACATGTGATTCTAAATTTAAGCTACATGACCACATCAGTTAAAACAAGAATTGCACAGCTAAGTTACAAATTGATGCTTTGAAAACATAGGCTCCAATCGTGCATCCTACTAATACACATGCTTAACTTTAAGCAGGTAAACAGTTACATTGAAGTCCATGGGAAAGCTTACATGCTTAAAGTTAGTATGTTTTTAGATGTCTTACTCCTTATGGGGCATAATCCAAAGTATATTGAACTCCATGAACTTAAATCCAGCTCCGGGGTCTCTAATTATTAAATGTTTACCTCCCTATAGTTTGTGGGTTCTAATTAATACTCTATTGCTGTTCTATGAAAAATTAAGTAACCGGTTATAATAATGGAAATTTAAAAGATGACTGTGCTCTTTAAGGTGACCTGATTTTTTTAAGTCCTCTTTAGCTGTAGATGTTGAAGGGGAAAGTTAATCAGACCTGGCATCTTTGAAAGATGGGACTTTGTGGGGGGGAGGGGGCAGCAGGGGCCATGCGTGACTTTCCTTGCAATCCTCCTGGTTGCTGCAGGCCACTGTGATGTCAGACACTGGAACTGAGAGCACAGACACTGTCAGTACTCCATTGTGGCTTGTGATCCTGCTGCCTGACTTGAATGCAGATGGTATGAGTTGTTCCTGCAGTAGAGGGAGCAGATTGGGACAGGACAAGGAGTCTGGTACTGAAACTAGGGGGAAAATGTTTGGGGGAAGGGGGCAGATCAGATGAGAAGCCCAGAGGGGAAGAGGTAAAGAGACTGGGACATCAAAATTATGTTTTGTTCACTAATATAACATGAAATAGAATCATTCACATGATTTCTTGATGTAATTTGTGTTAGATTTATAGTACTAATAAAAAGGATGGAAAACAAAATGCTTGAAAATTAGAGTTTTACTCCTTTTTCTATATAGTAATCACATGGTTAAATAAGCAACTGAATGAAATTCAGATGGCACGAAAGCAAGAGATATTGGGAACTTCTACCATTCCACTTACACATTCAAGCAATGGCACTATTAGAACTGGCACTTCACCTCACAATATGGTAAGCTATCCACTTATAAAACTTGGTACTTTCTGTACATTTTTAGAAATAAAGATACACGCCAAGTGAAGTGCTTATAGTACCTAGGAGAAATGCTTTGGTATTCCTTTTGCCCCGTAATTGAATTTTTCTCATCATGTTGTGCACTGTTGTTAATGGATGCAACAAAATTACTAGTATCATAAATAAGAACTTCCTAAATTCTCAATAAGCAATAAAAACTGTTAAAATGCACAGATTTGTGTAATGTATTTGGGCTAGTGAAATAGCATAT